GGTCAGTCACATTTGGAGCCTACACGGGGCTGAGGACTCTACCCACCACCATACAACAGCAGGCCAATCACTGTCACATTAGAGAAGGGGGGCGAGTCACATAATGCCCATACCCAGAAGCACTGGGTATTTCTCTTTGTTCTCAGCAGAAGATGGATCATCAGGAAGGTAATTATATGCAGTAGAAGGGCCGGGAATTAAAGTGAACCTGTTGCTTTGACTTGCATGGGTAAATCACAGGTTCACTTTTAATTGTGGAGTAAAAACAGTTCAGCTACTTCATCTCAAATTATAAGAAAAAGTTACAGGTTTTTTTGCATTGTGCACCATAACGTCAAAACCTATGACAAATATGTTTTTATCAATATAGCTTTATGACCATATAACCAATGGGTTCTTTTCACACAGCCTGTTGGGACTGCACAGAATATCTGCGTTTGAAATTAGTAAATAAAATAGGCAAAACTGTATAGCTCTGACCTATCCTGAAACCTAAACAATGCGTTTTTGTGTTATGTTTTAAAAAACAAACAAACCAAAAACAAAACGATATATTCCCCAGAAAAAACCACAACACACAACCAGGCAATGTCTTTGTAGGACAGCTGTGGATGTTTACTTTACCATTCTTTTTTGTTGCTTACAAACAAATGGCTGAGCGTTTTCCCCATGTGACAGAACTGGGCCAAACACCAGCACTGTCACATGGAACTAGTCAAGTGCTTCTCCAAAGGCTTGAAAGGGTATTTTTCAATTGTTCCTTGCTCTGCATGTGCAAAGAACAAGTTTGCATTTGCTAGTCATCTGCTACTACAGCATACATCATCCAATGTCTTCTACATCACTGTTGCTAAAAGCAAATTCCTTGCAATTTTAAAGGTAGACTAAAATTCAAAGCTTCTCTCCAACTCGCCCTCAGGCTTCACCTGCCTGTGAAATACACTGTTTGCACACTACTCACCTTTGCTTCCTTGTCCTTTGGGTCTCTGCAAAAACAAAAAGAGGTTCTGTCAGACATTAGCACTAAGATGACTGAGAAAAGCAAGTAATTAGATTAGCCAAGTGGTGACTGGAAAAGCAACAGGGCGCAGAGATGTCAGCGACAGCATAAAAGATCTGAAAGTAACTGTCTTGTCACATGGTGGATCAGAAACATTAATCATCTAGATGTCAGCTTGGGAACGTTAGGATTTGATGCTGATGCTTAAAGAGAAACTGTCACTTTTCCCCATACAGGACAAAGTGAGCATCTCCTCAGCCTTTACCCCAGGCATGTATACTTGCCCAGCTACACTTCCTTTGCAGCGTCCTTGCCTAAGCTCCAGTGTTAACCGATTTTAGGACTTAGATGTTGGATAACGTCATAGCAGCCTGTGTTTATGATTGACCATGTAGGCCTAAGCATTGCCACATGGTCGGTCATGTGCTTTTGCGTACTATGTAATAAAATAGTGCATTTTGATACCTGTCCCATGTACCATTTCCAGTTCTTTGGTTTTTCACTTGTGCTTCCCAAACCCAGAAGCAGCACTTTGTTAGTGAGGTCTCCAGCAGCACAGGAAGGCCACAAGGTATATATGCTTGGGTCGATACACATACACTGGCATTTCATCCTGAATGGGCCAAGCGACAGTGTCTGTAATACTGGCAATAGACCTTACAACCATCGCAAGACTTTTGTCTTGCGATGGTTGTAAGGTAATTAAAAAAACTTACGATCTGCCCATCTTGGACAGGCAGATCGTACTTGCGATGACCGCAATGCTGAATGCTTGCGCACACCGGCCCGTGCGGCATTTATCTTGCGAACATGCCACACACCTGCCGACAATCTACGATTCTCGGTGGGTTTTCGAACATGTTCCCAAGATAAGTCGTGCGACCGTACAGTAGAAATGGTCGCAAGCCTTCCACACACCTTGCGATAAGCGTACGATGACGGGATTTCACGCAATCGTACGATTACTGCAAGGTGTGTGGGCACCTTTATGCTGAGCAATTTTACATTGATTTCAAGTGTTTGTATGCTTTTCCATGCATAAACACATGATATTAAAGTGTATTTCAAGCCTTTTACATGTGTATTCAAGGCATTTGGCTGAAAGCAGTAGATCTGTGACATCATATACCTAGCTTGTCTTTTTGGGTTGCAGAGAATGAGCCCCACCTCTTGTCTGCCCGTGGGCCCCCTACCATTTGGATGAAGGTCTCCACATCCAAAAATGCCAATGAATCTCCCATGTTTGGGCCAGCACTGGGCTTGAGGGAGAACAGCAATTCTTTCCAGGCTGAAAAATGTGTTTTGCTGATTTACAGGTGCTCCTTTTGAAGTCTATAGGTTCGAAAATGCCCAATTTTGCTTGGAAAGTAGCTCATGTACCTTTTTGTGAGTCAGGCGTTTAGCTACAGGCACCTGAGTGGTCACAGGCAAGAATTTGCAGCATGGAATATTGGTTGTTGAAAGTTTGGAAGCTTTGAGCTTGAAGCTACAAAACACTTGTGTTAATCGTGGCTGAAGTTGAAGTAAAAACGACAAATGAACACTTTGTTTGCCATGTGAAAGCTGCTGGAGGAGGTCTGGAAGTTTGAGATCCTGACACCCCCGAAGTGTTAATCTTCCGTCAGGATAACAGCACCTAAAACTGATCAAATTTCTGCAGCAGAGAGCACCTTTCTAAGAACTGTCTGCGTATGTTTAACTGCGAGTAGGACAGAGCTGGAGCCAGGTAGCCAATGTTCCTTAAAATTAACAGCTGGCACCTAACTTTTGGGTTTTTCTCTAGTTGTTAATGGAGCCGAACCTAAAAACAATCTACTGGCTCCTGGATTGGATAGACGGTCTCCTAAATTCAATATTAAAGGTGTCCACCCCTGGAGGAGGATGTGGTAACATGGTCTCTAGGTCCTCCCAGCATCCAGCTAAATGTAGGAGAGCCAAGTTAAGGCAAGAACCAGCCCACAAGCATCATTCTTCCTCCACTGTTGGTAATCTTCCCCCAATACAATAAGACCTAGTTCCCATAGGCTTCAGCCTGTATAAGAGCAAGTTTTCACCAAGCTTGAAGCCTTTAAAGCACCCTTCAAACCACACAGAGAACCTAATGGGAGTGTTGCCTGTCACTATAAACAATCTGATGTCAGGCATGATTAGGCTCGGAACAAGCTTCATGCTGTACGGAAGTGAACACCTCCTACCATCAACATTCTCATTAAGATCTGTTCAACATTCCGAAACTGTAAGGATGCTTTACAAGCTTGCTGAGAGCTCTGGAAATGCTATGCACAAGGTCACTGCTCTGATACTAGCTGCAGCTAGTGTGATCTAGGCCTATGGAAAGATTAGGAAAGTGGTTAGGAATGGCTGGAGATGCCACCTCAAGATGGAAAGGACACCAGTGTGCATGGCCATAAACAGACCGGATGTCCAGCACTGAGACATATTACCCGGGTGGGAGGTTTCTTCTAGTTTAGGATTAGAGAGAAGGGAAAGACAACATGCACACTCATGGGAACAGACACGACATCACTGCACGAAAACCATGACAGTTGTTAGGCGGAGAGAAAACAATACACCAGGAAGAAGAGAGGACGGAGGCGTCATGGGCACAGACGGGAAGAGGGAAGCTGGGTACACGGAAAGGGAGGTCAAGGCTCACAGACCACAGCAACTCTCATTACCGGCTCCAGCAGGCTACTGGCAGACATGTTGTCGGTGGAGAGCAGATCCGGGAGATGCAGCAGCAGCGCGCCCTGAAAGCAGGAATAGGGCGGAGACTCCAGCGTGCGCTCGCCGGCGCCGGCATTGACGACCTTTGAGGCCGCTTCGGCCATATTTATTAATGGCAAACGGAATGCATTACACTAGCCAAACGTATGGAATTATAGCTGCTCTCAGATAGTAGGAAGGCCGCTTTCGCCTCAGCACGCTAATCGTACAGCAAACTTAGTATCATTACTTCATTTACATTGTTGTATTAACTTATACGCATGACGATAACGATGAGCCTGAAATACGGCAGCGTGAGGGGGATAAACTACACCAGACACTGCTCGCGCCTTTCGCGCTTAGTGACGTCATGCACGTAGGCTGCCAGGGCCGTGATGCACGTCCCGTTCTAATGAGCAGCTTAACCAGGGAAGAATTTGGTTAGAGCTCAGTCATAGTCGGCGCAGAGCAGAGCAGCAGCCAATACAGTGATGTACGTTTTTGCAGCAGGTCTTTAGAAAGTTTCAGTAGGACCACCATACCTTAAGCCAAAACCTTTTTTTTTTGTTAGTTATAAAGTAGACAGGGGTTAAAGCTGAACTCCAGGATTCTTTAACAATGTACTCACGCATGCGTGATCTCACATGCATACACTTTAAGGCAGGGGTAGCCAAACTCTGGCCTCCAGCTGTGGTGGAACTACAAATCCCATGATGCATCTCTCTCCGGGAGTCATGTCTGTAGCTGTGAGAATCTTGCAATGCCTCATGGGATTTGTAGTTGCACCACAGCTGGAGGGCCGGAGTTTGGCTACCCCTGCTTTAAGGGCTCATTCAGACAGGCGCACACTTCCGTACGTTGTGCACGCAAGGACGCCCGATAGCTCACCGTGCATTTCATTTGTGGCTTTAGATCGGATCCAGGGTTACACTAATATTTGTAAATGTGGTTTTATTTTTGGGGGCTGGATGGTTGCACTTGGATCCTGTTCCCCCTCTTTGACATTTGCCTTTCTGGGGTCCTGAGACACAATGAACATGGTGAGTCGGTCTTCCCCTGTGATTCATTAGCTGTGGCTTTTTGTAGTCCACCTGCCTTTTGTCTAACTCTTCCGGCCCCCCCTTTAGCTGGATGGTTATCCTGTCTTGGTTGCTCAGGGTGGGAGATGCCCTCATGCTTGTTGCCCAGTGTCTGGTCGTGGAGTCCAACACTGCAGTATGTCCATGTTATTATTATACAGGATTTATATAGCGCCAACAGTTTGCGCAGCGCTTTACAATATAAGGAAGACATTACAATACAAGACAAGATGGTAAGGAGGGCCCTGCCCGTGAGGGCTTACAATCTAAAAGTGTTATGAGTTCATGGAATGATGATTTGGCCACGATTATTTGAAAGCTACTATACAATGGGGCTTTTTTAATATCTTTAAACCAGAAAGGAATAAATGTGGTTATAGGCTAGAAGGTGTTACTTGATGGATTAATCTATGATCAATATACTATTTTAATCCAATGTTTCTATGTTTTACATTTTTTTGTAATAAATGTATGAAAATATGCTGTGATTTTCTGATTCAGCACAGTACCATTGAAAGTCCCACTTCTTTTTTTTGTATTTATTTCTGAGTTCATGTTTGGAATGTTGGTACAGAGCAAAAGCGTGTTTTTAAACATGTTCCATATACAGGATCACCTCTGTGTGTATTAAAGGAGAACTATGAGGTGAGTGCTTTTCACTCACCTCATAGTTCTAGCCGACCTGTGACAATGAGACTGTCACAGGTCGGCTCAGTAGATCGGGAGGTGAGCGAACACATACCGGGTTCGCTCGGCTCTCGATCCTGTCACGGCTCTCTGCCGTGACAGGGGGAGGGGCTGGATTCCCCCCTCCCCGCTCCGATCTGCCAGCGCTGACTAGCAGAACGGATGAGGAGGGGGCGGGTACAGCTGGCTCTGCCTCTAGATAGGCAGAGCCAGCTGTCACTCACACAGCTGGGCGGATCCCGTCATCTAAATCGGGATCCGCTGCGGCGTCTTAGTATACCGCGAGCTGTGGCTCGCGGTATACTGACCTTAGGGTAACGGGAGGACGCTAGTTTGTGTCCTCCCGTTACCCTAAGGAGAACTATGGGGAAAAACACTGACCCCCATAGTTCTCCTTTAAATCTGGAACAGTAGTCCCATGCCAAAAAAGCCCACAAGGTACTCATAGACTTAGCAGAATGTGCCGTGACAGGAAAGAAAGGAACCTGATCCTTGACAACATACATCAGTATAATGGTCTGTCTTTGCCATCTCAAAATGGTAGAGTAAGAAATGGGTGCACCCTTGTCGGTACCAATTGGGGTAATAAAAAGGGAATCAGTCTATCTGAAGGAAACTGTAGCTGAGAGATAGGCTCTTACAGCCTGAACCACATCCAGCCAATGTGTTGCTGAACTGTGGCCAGACAGAGACGGAAGAACTAATTCCTGGTTGAGGTGTAAGGTGAGATAGGAAGGAAGTTCTGGACTTCAGCACCACCTTGTCCAAAACCAGAAAAGTTTTTTTGCAGGATAAGGCTGCCAGTTCAGACATTCACCAGCAAGAAACCTAACCTCGCGGTTGAGTTAAGCGAGGGAAATGTCTCAAATAGGTTCAAATTGTGGTGTTTGGAGCATGAAGAACCATATTCCGATTTTACAGTGGAAAGAACATGTAAGATACATGGAGGACTCCCTGAGTAAAGGTTTACCATAAAAGAATGTGAGGCAAACTGTCAGAGAGAGAGAGAGCAGCAGTGAATGGTTGAAAACGAGATAGACTCTAATAGCAGATGGGGAACAGGATTCCAGACGTTGGCCACCTCAGTAGGCACACTGCAAGTAGCATCAGAGCTGTTAAGAGTGTGAGCTGAAGGTAGCAGGACTGCTCCAAAACCGAAAATCAGACTTCCACATGGCTCTTTGCAAAGCAGGGGCAGCAGTTAGAAGATGCTGCCTCAATGCTGAATTGTGGGAAAAGAGTACAGAGTGTGCATGCTTAACACCCCACCCCAGATTACATCAGCACTCAGCAATAACCCCTTCTGCAGTATGAACCAGTGGAGAACAGGAATTAAAAGATGCCTGATGAGCCAAGCAATAAGGTAGATCCTAGTGCTGAGCCCTATTTACAGAGTAGGTCTTTAAAGACAGTGCAAACAAGCACTGAGGCAATGGCTCTGGACCTGGAAAATGCACAGTTACTAACTTGTTACCAGAACAGGGCCTGGAAACAACACGCAGAGCTCAGTTCCTGAAAGTCACTTCCAGCCTTGCCCTGCAACATCTTGAAAAGTGGCAGTTTTTTTTTTTTACAAAAGACCATGACAGATTGCTGCTAGAGCTGGTCTCTAGGATTGCAGCTATGTAGTACATTGCTTGAAGAAAATGCTAGCAAAAAATGGTTAGTCTAAACAGCAGAGCTGAACAAAATATGTCCATCCTCCTAGGACACTAGCAAAAAAAAAACTGAAGCATGCCGGTAGTAGGAGAGGTTATCTTAGGCTAGCCACCAGTTTTGTTTGCTTTCCAGTGTCCAGTCTTATTTTTTTATGGTACTCTCTGCCTGCATAAGACTTGTAGTTCCATGGGAGGAGAACAGCCAATAAAGTACCCTTCTATAGCCAGCTGTGAGGATCTTGGCACAACATGTAAACATGGCTTTTTTGTGTGTGGGAGCATTATGCACACTGTTGGTGTACATGGGAGTACTTTGTATACAGTTGGAGTATTAAAAAAGCGCCAGAAATGTAATTTCCAGAAGATTTGATTGGCTCACTGCTATTCCCCAGAGTATCTTATTACAACACTTGGCCTGGTCATATTAGCAAGATGACTCTCCCCCTTTGGTATTATACAGGATTTATATAGCAGTTTGTGCAGAGCTTTACAATATAATTTTGTACCCAGGAAGAGGCTGCAGAAATAAAAAGCAAGGGGGAATCAATACAAATGGCAACACAGAAGACTCTACAGTGACATTTGCCAAAATCCTAACAAAATGAGGTTTTGTGAAAGTCTTCCAATGTACAGTGCATTCAAAGTATTCAGACCCCCTTCACTTCTTCCAATTTTGTTATGTTGCAGCCTGATACTACAGTTGTTTACATTTTTTTTCTCATGAATCTACACTCAGTATCCCATAATGACAAAGTGAAAACAGCATTTTAGAAATGTCTGTGACTTTATTAAAAAGAAAAACCTGAAATATCACATGTACCTATGTACCTTTTACTCAGTACTTTGTTGAAGCACCTTTGGCAGCAATTACAGCCTCAAGACTTTTTGGGTATGACGCGACAAGCTTTAGACACCTGGATTGGGGGATTTTCTGCCATTCTCCTTTGCAGTTGCCCCTTAGGCTTGGTTCACACCTGGGCGTTTTACAGCGCGTTCCTACGCTCTTTAAAACGCTCAACATGTGAAAACCAATGATTGCCTATGGGCATGGTTCCCACCTGGGCGGTTTACAGCGCGTAGGAACGCACTGCAAAACGCCCTGCGCCCAAAGAAGTACAGGAGCTTCTTTGGGGCATATTTGCTGCGCGTATCCGTTGGGATACAGCCAGGTAGCCCTCGGAAACAAATCACGGTAAAAACGCACGGCAACCAACGCGCATATTCGATACGCCTAGGTGTGAACCCAGCCTTAAGGTGCCCAAACACAGGTCGAATTTCAGCTGGCTTTTAATATTAGTGTGTGTGGGGCTGTCGGCTCCCTTTCAGCCGGCATTCCTCGATCAAGGGAGTCGGCTGGCAAATTTTCGATCAATTGATCAAAGCCAGTAGCCAATGAGCTGCCAGCTCTGATCAAGTATTCTGACATGTGCCGGCGGCACCACGGGTATTCTGACTGGTGCCAAATTGAAGCCAAACAGTTCAATCTTGGTTTCATCAGACCAGAGAAACTTGTTCCTCACAGTCAGAAAGCCCTTCAGGTCCTTTTTTTGCAAACTCCAAGTGGGATTTCACGTGCTTTGCACTGGAGGAGAGGCTTCCATTTTGCCACTGTCATAAAGGCCAGATTGGTGGAGGGCTGCAGTGATGGCTGTCCTTCCGGAACTTTGTCCCATCTCCACACAGGATCTCTGGAGCTCAGTCAGAGTGACCATTGGGTTCTTGGTCACCTCTCTTACTAAGGGTCCCCACACACCTTACGATAATCGTACAATAATCGCAGGAAATCCCGCGATCGTACGATCGTAAGGTGTGTGGAAGCCGTGCGACCTCTACTACTGTAAGATCGCACGACTTTAAACTTACGAACATGTTCGAAAACCCGCCGAGCATCGTACGATGTTCGGCGGTTTGTGGCATGTCCGTACGATAACAGCCATACGGGGCGGTGTGCGCAAGCGCACACTGCCCGTTTGGCATTGCAGTCATCGGGAGCCCGCCCCTCAGGGGGCGTGGCTTGCGATCATCGCAAGTACGATCTGCCTATGCAAGATAGGCGGATCGTACGTTTTTTTTAAGTACCTTACAACCATCGCAAGACAAAAGTCTTGCGATGGTTGTAAGGTGTGTGCCCAGCCTTAAGGTGGCCATACACTGTACAACCATCGCAAGACCTTAGTGATGGTTGTAAAGGGATTAAAAAAAACGTACTCTCGCACTCTCGATCATCGCAAGCCACGCCCCCTGAGGGGTGGGCTTGCGATGACTAATGAGGGGCGGGCTTACGCTGACTGCAAACGGGCAGTGTGCGCGTGCACACGACGGCCTGTTCGGCAGTTGTCGAACCAGCAGGCCACCAACTCGCCGAGAATCGTACGATTCCCGGCGGGTTTTCAAACATGCTGGTTCGATGGAAGACGTGCGACCGTACAGTAGAAACTGTCGCATGCCTTCCATACACTGCACGATTCTCGTACGATCGCGGTATTTCCCGCGGTTCTCGTACGAGAATCGTGCAGTGTATGGGCACCTTAAGGCTCTTCTCCCCCGATTGCTGTTTGGCCAGGTGAGCAGCTCTTGGAATATCTGCAGGCAGTTCTATTGACCTGCTCTCTAACTGCTCTACCAGTTCTATTGCTCCGATACAGTATGCATTCTCAGCTGTGAGGCTTTCTATAGAGATGTGTGAGGCCTTCCAAATCATATCCATTCAATTTAATTTACCACAGGTGGACTCCAATCAAGGTGTAGAAACATCTCAGCAACGATCCAGAGAAATGGGAGGCGCCTCAGCTAAATTTCAAGTGTTGTTACAAAGGGTCTGAATACTTCTGCCAATGTGATATTTCAGTCTTTTTTCATAAATTCAGACATTTCTACAATTCTGTTTTCACTTTGTTTATTATGGGGTACTGAGTGTAGATAATCCCATCATGAAGTCTGAAGGGGTTAAACAGACTCCCGGCAGCTTTTAACCACTACGAGTCTGTTCAGTTTTGTAGAGGCGGCAGCCAGCTTTACAGTAGAAGTGATTCCGCCTTGTTTCCTGGGCTCCGCTGCCTTTTCTATGGGCCCAGGACCAGCTTGCCAGGAAGATCGGTGAACGTCAGTTTCCTCCCTGTACTATGGGACAGGGAGCGACGCGTATTGCATCGCTTCCGGTCCCATAGCTGTCATTGCTGGGCTCCTGAAGCCCAGCAATAAGCTATTGAAGTGGACCCCCAGTATCACCTTAAAGAAGTGTCAGGATCCGTTTCAGCTGCGGCGTCTCAGTATGTCGAGAGCTGTGGCTCGCGGTGTATTGAGCTTAGGGTGACGGGAGGACGCTAGTGTGTCCTCCCGTTACCCTCAAACTTTTCCATAATATATTGTCCAAGAGTGTTTGTTTTTACACACTGCTTAATTGGGCACTGTCACAAGCTGATTTTATTGACCAATTTTTACACCAATACATAAAGAACTCTGCACTCCAGTTAGAGCTGCAGCTAACGATTATTTTCAAAATCGATTAGTTAGCCGATTATTAAGTTCGATTAATCGGTTAATCGGATAAACAATAAAATTAATTTTTTTTAAGTGGCTCCAGTGATGGACTACTACAGTACAAGTATTGTAACATTGGCTCTAAAGTACATTTTTACCAGGTTTCTGATAAAATGTTCTCTGCGATAGACTAGAGGAATTTCTTCAAACAAGTAAATCAACAGAAATGGGTAAAGGCCTAGAAACATTAACCCCTTCCCTACCACCGATGTAAGGCATATGGTGGAACACAACCGCTTCTAGCTGGCCATGTCGGTATGCCTTACATCGGTGGCTTTCACCCTTCTGCGATAAGCTCAAGGTTGCTTTAGCGACCATAAACTTATATAAGCAGGGTTCTCCTGACTCCACTGTAAATTAACAGCTGTCATCAGCAGTTCACAAGCCACTAATGACATCTATTCATTAAAATTCTGGCCCTCTACTGCCGGAATTTGACTTCTCCTGCTGGAGAGCAGAGCGGTAGCTGTCACATTTAGGATGGCCGAGCGGAGAATAGGAAAACGTGTAATATTTACCGATCCATTGTGTGCAGGACAAACATTGGGGTGATCGCTGATCACTCCAATGTTTGTAAATAACTGGGGACATAATATATGTCCCCAGTTATGAATGAACAGGAAGTGCTTTACATCACTTCTTGTTCATTCACGAGTTTCTGGATAGAAGCAGCTCACTAAAGAGGCTTCTATCGATTCATAACTGGTTGATAGCAAATAATATAAAGATAGTGAATAAATAGGAAGCCTCTGTACTCAGTGCTTTCTATTCATTCAGAACAGAGGCTGCAAAAAAAAAAAAAGATTTAATGTCTTTTTGGATTTCAAAAGGGAAATGTCAGGGGTCAAATAAAAGAGATCAACAGCTTGCTTGCTGCAGTTGAAACCTATGCCTCTCACCTGCCAGTGTATATTGATACTGTTCATCCTGGTCTGTTTGACTCCTTTTTTGTTCCAGCACTCTCTTTACTGTATCCAGAAGACCAAACGTATGAGAAATGTTACTGATTACTGTGACATCTACAAGATAAAAAACAAAATATGTTAAGACTTTCCATTAAATCTTATCTAAGCAAAGTTTTTGGATGGGGGTTAGATCATGTCAGTTTTTATTTTCTACCTCAGCCCATATCCCCACTGAGAAATTTCCACCAACTACTGTTCAGTTTAAAGGAGAACTATGAGGCGAGTGCTTTTCACTCACCTCATAGTTCTAGCCGACCTGTGACAATGAGACCGTCACAGGTCGGCTCAGTAGATCGGGAGGTGAGCGAACACATACCGGCGTTCGCTCACCTCTCGATCCTGTCAGGGCTGGATTCCCCCCTCCCGCACTGCCAGCACTGACCTGCGGAACAGACAGGGAGGGTACAGCTGGCTCTGCCTTTAGATAGGCAGAGCCAGCTATCAGTCACGCAGCTGGGCGGATCCCGGCACAATTGTCGGGATCCGCTTCAGCGTCTCAGTATACCACGAGCAGCTGCTCGCGGTATACTGAGCCTGGGGTGACGGGAGGACGCTAGTTTGTGCCCTCCCGTTACAATAAGGAGAACTATGGGGAAAAGACTTAACCCCATAGTTCTCCTTTAAAGTGTTTAATAGACAGTAACGGAGGTTCTATTCTCCCCATCCCAAAACTTAGAAAAATAAATGGTCTGGAACTGGTCTTTAACCAGTCAATTGATGGCTCGTTTTAGATAGATTCACTTTTAAAAAATCTAAGAGAATGGGTGGCTTTTAAAAGAGGAATGTTTAGCAAACTTCACGTCCACTGTAAGGGCTAAATCAATAAACGTTCAGCATTCACTGGCCATGCTCAATGAATCCACTGAATCAAAACAAACTTGCGAGATAAAACAGCTAGGCTTGCTCTCTGCACGGAGAATGCTGGACTTTTACTGATATAGTTGTATTTGCATTGGAGAGGAGTGCTGCCGTTTATCAGCAATTTCAGCAGCCAATAGGCTGAAAGTAGGGTCAAGTGGCTTTGGACTGTACACTGCAAGGACTGTTCAGTGTAGTCTCAGTGGTGAGAGAAGAAAGATAAAGTCATAATGAAAGGTGAGACTGTATGATTTAGCGACAGAGCAGTATCATTTTTCACTAGAAAGAGGACATGCATGAGGAAAAAAATCACAGCCTTTTTGCTTCCTTCTAGCGCTGAACTAGGTCGGTATTTGTAACTCTACACCCCTTCAAAAGTTGTCTCTGGAAACCTAGCAGTCAAATATAGCAAAATTACAAAAGGTGGCCTGTACTGGCTAATCTCAGGACTGGAACAGAGGAAACAAATTTCCTTTATTTCTGGAGAGAGACCGACTACCTGGGGAGATACACCTATAGTTCAGCCATTACCCGTTATTGGTCCAACAGTACTTTATGCTTCAATCAATGAAAGGTATCAGAGTTGAACTTAAAGTGTGGTAACTCATAGCAACCAATAGCTTCCATCCAAGGTATTACTTCAGCAGTGTGAAATCCGACTAGCTGCTATACTACATAGGCACTGCCAACCACACTCCCTCATCACCTCCCCACTGCAGGAGTCCAAGCTAAAGTGTGGGATGGCATTACTGTCCCCTACCCCCCCTTACCTCATAACAGTGGTCAGGCCATACCTGGAAGCCCTGTTCCGAGACACACCATCTGTGAGTGTACTTATCTGTCACTGTGGCAGATGCATGTGCCTGGCACCTGGGCTTACAGCACACAGCAAATAGAGTACATTGCCAATATTCCCTTTTTGTGTCTTCTTGCGAGTGGTGTTGGGCATCAAATTATTTAAAAGAGATACCCGACCACCCTGAAAAAATTAAGAAACCAAACTCTTTTTAACTAATAATTTATATGTCATTCAGGTCTGTCCTGCCCTTCTCCCCATCAGACAATGGATTCTGTCAAAAATTGGCAATCCCTTCTGTGTCCAGGATTTAATCACTCCTTCTTAAACTCAAACTATAAAAGAAAAAAACTAAAATAACCTGAGGCCTGCAAAGTTGTTTGGTCAATTCGCTGCTGGACACCACTCAAGAGATCTTCAATTTCATTCTGGACCTTGGTGATAACTTCATCCATGAGTCCCACATCAGAGATTCCCTTCCAAAATAGCAGAGTCTCCTCTGAAAAGGGGGAAAAAAAAGAGCCACATTACAGCAACACGGTTTGCAGATCCTTATAATTTATTGCTGTGGTCTCCAAGTAGAGCTGAAGCTTTCATTTCCTCTCTTACAAAGTACGCCATGAAAAATAACTGTGCCAGGCCATGGACTTTCAAGAACCTAGAATCCAATGGGCTTCTGGCTGACCAAACACAACTTTACAAGGTTATGTGAGCATTTATCTGTGTCAGACCTACTGTGCTCCCCATAAAAGTCAATGAGAACATTAGTTTGTAGTAGCTCAGGAGGTGCTCAAATGCAAGCATAACACACTTGAAAAACATGCTGTATTTGCAAAAGCCCTAAGCTAGGTAACTGCAGATAACACAGCGCTTTAACTTACTTTTAGCCTAGGTCATGATCAGTTTTATTTCCAGTGCTAAGGTTAGGGAGAGGGATAGAGGTAAGTGCTAGGGTGAACTTAACAGTTTGGGATAGGGGATAGGTAATGGGCACCGGTGCACATAGAAATTCATATTAGTTTTTTTGTGGCAATAGCCCCTGCTGACATCTACCATGTAGAACTCATGGGATAAAAAGCCAAAGTACTGGGATGGCTGTATGGTTTTGGTCTTGACTTACCAGATATCTCCTCTCCCTCTTTCTTGATTCGGTCATCTCGATTTACTTGCAATGTGGCAGTAAGCCCAGAAGCCCATTCTATAGTGCCATCCTCAATTGTCTCCTCAGATATGGTAACAGAAGAAAGACTGCCTAGAAAAAGGAGAAAAAAAAATATGACTTTGGAAAGAGACATGCACTTGACTTACCTAATCATTTTGATAATACTTATGCTGGCAAAAGCATTTACAGGATGACTCATGATGATCATACTGTATGTAAAGAAGTAGGGATAAGGCTTGTGGCACAAGACCTAGAGAACAGTTAAAAGTCAATTATAAGCCGCTCTCCTCCATTGACTGCAACTTGCACTCACAAGAGCAGGAAATACATTAGTCCTATAAAATGTTTACTCTAACAGAAAAAGACCATCAAAATATCCAACATATAGCTTGCAAATGAATGGGATAATGCACTCCCCTATGGTAGGGCTTGAAAAATTCCAGTAGCGAAGTCACCTTGAAAAACTTTGCTATTGATGAGATTATGTGATTGTCCATCCGTGTGGTATGGATTCATATAAAGGGCACAGATGCACGTATATGCCAATTAAAGTCCCAATGGCTATAGAAGTTCAGCAATTGTCCAACCAGTGGAGTTTAAAAGACACTATGGTATCTACCATTAAATATTAATACAGACACACACACACACATATATATGCTTCTGACCTGAAGAAGAGAGGTTCACTCTCGAAAGCTTGTCTTTTATATATTTTGTTAGTCCAATAAGAAAGGTATCATTGCACACTGCAATACTACGGGTTTTTTTTTTTGTTTTTTTTTTTTAACGTCTTATCTACTGGACTAATACGGCTTACCCATTGATATATCTATATATAGCAATATCTAGATATATCTAGATAAATATAAAAGAAAGAATGAATAACCTATGTTGCCTCTATTGAACTGTGTCAAGTGGCTACAATTAGAGACATTTTTCCTTGCTGGATATACAGGTCTTGGAGATTTGATACTATTCACATAATCTAAACCATATATGAATAACTGAAGAATGGATCTGATCACACTGGGGGATATTATTATGTATACTTTGGTGGAAAAGTCTTGTTTATAAACAAATAATTGAGTAGGTAACAACTTGGGATGCACCGATACCACTTTTTTAAGGCCAAGTACGAGTACCGATACTTTTTTTCAAGTACTCGCCGATACCAATTACCGATACTTTTTCTTAAAAGGGACAGGTAAAATGTTTTCTAAAGCAATACAAAATCATGATTTTAGGTCAGTTTCTTAATATTATGAAGAACATGAACACTCTGTAGTGTGGCACAGCTATATCCAATTCTGCATACCTGGCTTTATATTATAAGAACTTTATAATATAAAGCCAGGTATGCAGAATTGGATACAGCTGTGCCACACTATACAATAATACACTGTCTGGACATGTGATCATCTATTTTCCCAAGAAAAAGAAGTGAGATGATGTGAGGGGATCAGCTCAAAGTACAGCTAGTAAGGAGGGTCAGAGAGTCAAAATATGATACAAAATATTACACATTTATTATTTAAAATCTCATTGGACATACAAATGCACCAGTTAACACCAACACCAGTTCAACATCTAAAATTGGTTATTGCAACAACCCATTCACTCATAAAACACAGAAATGCACTCTGAGGATGAGCTGATCAGCATAATAAATGGTACCGGATTAAACTCAAAAATGAATTCCTCAAAAAATTTTTAGTTTAATCCGATACCATTTATTATGCTGATCAGCTCATCCTCAGAGTGCATTTCATGGTATCGGTGCATCCCTAGTAACAACCTATATCTCTGCTTGTTGATTTAGTCTATGGACTGGTTGATATTATATTTATGCCACCTGCTATGTTAAAATATACCCAGTGAATTGAACATACTAGCACCTGTACAGAAGCATTATGATGTGCTGTATGAATATCAGGGGTGTGGAATTCGTATCGGCTGACGCCCAGGACATGTAGTTCCGGGCGCCGGGCAAGTAGTTTTTTCACTGTTTTAGCACTGCTACGGACAAGAACCAGATGTAATCTGGTTACATGCGGAGGCTACCGCACACGATCACACGTTCCGGGAATCCACAGGTCTGCACCCACCGTAAAGGGTAAGTTCACTTTCCCAAGTAATTTGGAGAAATGGAATTACCCGCACAAATCTCCATCCCACTATACTTACCTTTCGGCGAACGGTCCTTCCCCCTCCACCGGTACTGGTGTACTATCTGTACCTGTTCCATGTATTCTGAATTTCGCTCGCAAATTGCAAACATTCGTTGGTCAACACGGTCACCTGACGGCACTGACCAATGAGAAGCGCTTCTTAGCACTGCTAAACACTGTTTTGGTTAAAATTATTTTTTTTGTATCAGGACAAGTAAATTGTCATGAAGGACAAGTAGATTCGGCCCCTGCTTTAGTCCTTGGACAAGTAGTTTTTTCCAAAATTTCCACACCCGATGATACTACATTTATGTGCGTTAATAGATATACCAGCATATCTAGTGGCTTTATATGGTTCTTATTGCACAATGTGTGTATTTTGGTGGTAGTGTTTAGCACGATCATGTTCAAAGTCACATGACACTGCAGGGGAAGCTAGATACTGCTTCCCTGCAGTGTGCACAGGATTGCTTGCCCAATCAGAAATAATCAAAAAGATGGGAAGCAGTTAATGATTACCGTCAGGCTTGCTAACTATAAATAAGACAGAGAGAACACTATATGTGCCCTCTGTCAAACAGGAAGGAAGTGGGAACACTGCACTTGTGGGTATTGTTTGGGGGACTGACTACTGAGGGAGTGTTAAGAGAATTGTATATATGGTGTCTAATTGAAGCAGGCTACGAACTGCCACCTACATTTTGGAATAGTTCCACAGACTTCCTTACTGTAGTTTAGAAGGCCAACAGGAATCACCAATAAGGTCTATAAAAATGATATTCATCAGAATAAAATATTAAACCCTTACCTTCTGTAGTTGGGGTCTGTACCACACTAGTTTGTCCTGGAACAGGAGCACGGGCACTGCTGATCAGAAGGTCAAACTTTGTACTTCTGCATGTATTTGTGCAAAGTTTATCATGCTGATAAAAGTCAATCTGCCCTGAATCCATCATTTTTCTGTAGAAAATAGTAAAAAAAAAAAAAAATGAGTTGATTACTTGATAACTCTGTTTCCAGGAATCTTCCAGGACAGCCAATGAACTGCTCTGCAGATCTGGTCTGGAGTAGCCCCTGCCCGCTCTGCCCATGAAGTAGCCCATGCTCTAGTTGAGTGTGCTGTGAGCGGACCCGGTAATACCAAGTCCTGAGCTTTGTAATTCTCAGTGATAGCCATCTTAATCCACCTAGCTATTGTGCTTTTTGTGGCCCTGTTCCCTCTAGTGGGACCCCCAAATACTACAAAGAGGCGGGTCGACTGTCTCCAAGGTTTCGTGACCCTAAGGTACTCCAAGACGCACCTTCGTACGTCAATACCTTGCCATTCTCGTTCGAGCAGACGTAGGGTTAGTCGCGAACGAGGGGATGACCACTTCCTGAGTCCTGTGGAACGTGGACACCACCTTTGGCAAAAAAGCCGGATCCGGCCTCAACACAATTTTATCCACTAGGATGGTGCAGTACGGATCCGCAATAGAGAAAGCTTGGATTTCGCTCACCCTCCTAGCGGAAACAAATGCTACTAAAAGCGCCGTCTTTATTGACAGATGCTGTATTGAACATTCTCCCAGGGGTTCAAAAGGTTGCTTGAAGAACCCTTGTAACACCACCGAGAGATCCCAATTTGGAACGGCCATCCCCTTTGGGGGTTTCATCCTTACTACCGCTCGCATAAACCGCTTTATGAGAGGGTCTTCTGCCAATCTAACGTCCACAAAATTAGATAGTGCCGACACCTGTACTTTCAGTGTACTACAGGAAAGCCCCTTGTCCAGCCCCCCCCCCTGTAGAAACTCCAACACTAGCGCCACCGTATTGGCCGCTGGTCTACCTCTGCTGTCATACCAGCTGGAAAAAAACTCTCCACACTTTTAGGTAAATCGCTGACGTTACCGGTTTCCTACTGTGCATCAGTGTGGACACTACCTTAGCAGACAACCCCTTGTTCATCAGCACCTCGCTCTCAGAAGCCATGCAGCTAAATGTAAGGCCTGTACTTGCGGGTGTCTTACCGTGCCCTGCACTAGCAGGTCTGCCGTCGGTGGAAGAAGCAGTGGCCCCTCCACACACAGCTCTAGGAGTGTCATGAACCATGGCCTTTTCCGCCAGTATGGCGCTATGAGAATTAGCGTCATGCGTTCCTCCCTGAGTTTCCGAAGAACATTCGGAATCAACTGCAGCGGAGGAAATGCGTAACCCAACCGGAACCTCCAAGGGTGCACCAAAGCGTCAACCCCAGGGCCCCATCGTACCTGGAGAGGGAAAATAATTTTTCTACCTGCCTGTTGTTGGCTGCTGCAAAGAGGTCCACCTCCGGACAGCCCCACAAGCTGGTGATCCAGGCAAACGTGCTCTTGTTCAGAGCCCATTCTGACCTGTGAAGTTCTGTTCGGCTGAGCGAGTCCACCAACTCGTTCAGGCTGCCTTTGATATGACTCGCCGTCAGGGAAAGGAGATTGCGTTCTGCCCATGACAGAATTTCTGTCGCCAACGCCATCAGGCCCTGCGACCTCGTGCCCCCCTGCTTGTTTATATAAGCTACCGCTGCAGCATTGTCCGAGGCCACAGCTACATGGTGGCCTGCTAAAATATCCCGAAAGTGGTAGAGAGCCAACCCTACCGCCTTCAGCTCTCTCCAGTTTGACGACCTGAGCCTGCCCGTATGCTCCCAGGCATTCTGCCAAATATGCTCCAGGCAGTGGGCTCCCCATCCCCAGGCACTGGCATCTGTCGTGACAACCAACGGTGCTGGCTGGCACCACAGCCTGCCTACTGAGAGGTTCCGACAGTCCATCCACCACAGCAGGGATTGCTTGACCTCCTCTGTGATGTGGACAACTTTGTCTAGGTCTTCCTGCCGACCCCACCAGATGCTCAACAGCCAATTCTGTAGCGTCCTTGAGTGGAATTGCGCACAGGTAACTGCTGGGATAGCGGACGTCATCAATCCCACCAGTCGCACCGCAATTTCAGCCTTAGTGTCCCCTCTATTAGCAAAGACACTTTTTCCCCCGGTAAGGCAATGGTCATATCCTTGGTATTGATCCAATAACCCAAAAACCTGACCGTCTGTGCTGGAACTAGTTGTGACTTTTCTCTGTTCACCAACCAGCCCAGGCTCTCCAAGTGTAGTATCGCCAGCTCCAGTTTTTGTTGGAGCACAACCTCTGTCGGGGCAAAAAACAAAAAGGTCGTCTAAGTAGGGAATGACCCCCACTCCCTGTGACCTTAGGGGGGCCAAAGTCTCCGCTAACACTTTGGTGAAAATGTGAGGCGAAGAGGAAAGGCCGAACGGCAAGGCCCTGTATTGGAAATGCAGGATCCCCGTTGGTCCCCGGACAGCAAACCTCAGTAGGTATTGTGACGACTGTCTTACTGCAATGTGAAAGTAAGCGTCTCTTAGGTCTATAGTTGACAAAAACAATCCCGGGGGCAGCAATTTGCGTATGGAAAAGATCGATTCCATACGGAACCTTTTGTACAGTACCACTCTGTTCAGTGGTTGCAGATTTAGTATCAGTCTGCACTTGCCCGAGGGCTTCACCCTGGAAAAGATGTGGGAATAAAATCCCCTCTTCTCTGAAGCTGGTACCTGCACAATGACCCCCTGATCCAACAGATCTTGCAGGGCTGCCGTCATTGCCTCTGCTTTCTTCCGGTCCTTGGACAGGGAAGTAATCAGAAGCCTGGATGGGGCCCGTTCCGTCAATTCTTTTTTGTAGCCGATCTGAACCAGCTCCAAAATGAACTTGTTGCTGGTCAGCTCCCTCCAGAGCGGGAAGAACTCTCCCCCAGTCTTCCTCCCACCCTGAGCAATTGGTCATTGAGATTTACAGGGCTGCTGAGGTGGGTTAAAGAGGAAATTGCTTTTAGTCTTTCCCTTTTTGAAGGCCCACCCTTTGGACTGGTCTTGTTTTTTACCGTAAAAACCCTGTTTTTCTTTACGGAAATTTTGACTCCTCTGACCACGAAAAAACTTTTTCCCCTGCTGCCTGGGTGGCAGCGGAAAACCTTTTTTCTTGTCCGCGGATCTATCCAACACCGCTTCCAACTCCTGGCCAAACACCAAGTCACCCTTGAAGGGGAGCCCGCATAGCTTTGCCTTGGAGGCTGCATCTCCTGCCCAAGTTTTGAGCCACAATGCCCTCCTGGAGGAGTTGATCAGCGCCGTGGTTCGAGCCGAGTACCAGACCGCCTCAGCGTCTGCAATGTAAGCGGCTGCCTTACTCAGTACGGGGAGGGAACCCAGTAACTGATCTCAATCTGTTCCAGACTCTAGGTGTACCTGTAGCTGGTTCAGCCACACCCCTAAAGTCCTGGCCACACAAGTAATTGCCAACCCTGGTTTAAAGCCAGCACTTGCAGATTCCCAACCTTCCTGAGTAAAGCCTCCGCTTTCCTGTCCATTGGGTCCCTCAATGCTCCCATGTCCTCAAATGATAAATCAGTCTTTTTAGAGACCTTCGATAGGGAGGCATCAATTTTCGGGCATTTGTCCCACAGGCCTGAATCCTCCTACGCAAATGGGAACCTGTGCTTGTGCCCCGCCGAGAAAAACATTCTTTTCGCAGGGTGCTTCCACTCCACCTGGATCAAGTCCGAGAGTGATTTGTGAACCGGGAAGGTACGCCCTTTTAGTCTGGAGGCCTTGTAAAATTTATCATGCACCGACAGCTCCGTAGACTCCTCTTTGATACCCAAAGTATGCCATATGGCCTTCAACAGCTCACCTGTCTCAAATGAAGGGAACAGGAATTTTGTAGCTTTGCGATGTAACTCCCCCTCTGACTCCTGATCCTACGACTCTACTTGAGAGCCCGAGGATTCACTGGGCGCTTGCTTGCTCAAGCAGCTTTCTGCATAGCCCATTGAACTACCTTCCCCTGATGTTTTGGGTAGACTGGTGTCCACCAGCGTCCCCACTGGGCTCTGTAACACAGACCTGAAAGATTGAAAAGTTGTAACCATTTCCTCTCTCATAGAATCTACCAAGCCTTTGAACATCCCAGCCGATTCTTTGTCTACCACCTTCTCTAAACAAACTTTGCATAAGGGTTTGGACCATGAAGGTGACATTTTGACATTGCAAGAAGCACACTTCCTTCCCTGTGGGCGAGAGCCGCTAGCTGCAGCAAGGGGCTTATCCTCCGTAGTCTTGACCTGCGTAAGACAGAAGGATGCCGTCAGCCAGTACTTCACCCAACATGCAAAACACAAAAAAATGTTTAACCAAACATCACCCCCAGCTTGTCCTGTCACAGGCCCCCAATACAAGCGGGGTAAGGCTAGGGGAGAATCCTTTGTAAAAAAACTCGCCTACCTTAGCGCCAGTACTATGCTCTCCCAGATCTGGGGATGCAGCACCCGGTCCGGCATCTGTGGGCATCCTCACCCTACTGCCGACCACGCTAACGGCCCGCTCCTGACGCCCCCACCGGCCATATGTGGTCCCGGTCGTCTTCGAGGTGTGCAGCCTTGTAGTCGTGGCCGAGTGGCGTTTTAAATGTGGCAGATTCACCCCCAGAAGCTCTGCTCATGCACGCTAGCGCTTTTATGTGCCAAAAAACCGGGAGATCCGGCCCGAGCCGACGCACAGGAAGCGCGTCACTGCTCTCAGTGCCTCACTTCCGCCCTCACTGCGATGCCGCTCCGACCCACTTCCTGAGTCTGCCACAGCCGCAAGTGAACCAGCGACGTTGACACACTCCCGCGGGAGACACCACGCGGTGCTGCGGCGAGGATGACAGCCAACAACAGAGACCCCAGAGGGCCCTCGAGGGGGAGAACCAGTTCCACATCAACCACTTAGGTAAGCCATTTTGCCCAGCCTGTTTGCACTGCAGTTTCACGCAGGCAACCACACTCACAAGGGGGTGCTTCATCACCACACTGCACACCAGGGGGGGCCACCGTCTGGAGCCACTCACGTCAGGAGGATGGTTTCCCTCCCTGAGCGACAGAGGGGAACCTTGGCCAACTCGGATGGGGGTCCGATAGGGGAAAAGACCCTGTGTGCGCCGCAGCAGGCTATGCCCGGAGTGGTCCCAACACATGCAGGGTCAGGCTCTGCCCTAAGGCAATCAAATAATGAGCCCAAAACAACAAACATTACGATGTCCCTGTGTAGCCGGAGGAAACACAAAAAAACTGAATTGGAATGGAAGGAGGAGTCTTTTATTTAATGTGGTTGATGTGTTTCCTGTTGCAGGCAGGCGGAGCCTTCTCTCATTGGCTGTCCTGGAAGATGACTGGGGAAACATTGGTAAATGTTAATTGTTTATGTGATAACTGTACATTGGTACTTTCTGCAACCTGCATATATTTCTTAAATAAACATATTGAACTCTAGTACTATACAACAGGCAATCAATTTACCAGACTCCTACATATAGTTAGTAGAGCAAACATCAGGTTTCCAAGGCCTTTATATGCGATAGGAATCATTTAAAAGGAGAACTATGGGGTAAGTGTTTTTCCCCATAGTTCTCCTCAGGGTCACGGGAGGACATATACTAGCGTCCTCCCGTGGCCCAAAGAGCAATATACTGAGACCGCCGCAGCCGGGACGGATCTCGACATTACTGTCCAGATCCACCCAGCTGCGTGATTGACAGCTGGCTCTGCCTATCTAGATGCAGAGCCAGCTGAACCTGCCCCCTCCCCCGTTAGTTCCTCCAGTCAGCGCTGGAGGATCGGGGAGGGGGGAATCCCTGCAGGGAGCCTTGAGTGACAGTCACGGCTCTCTGCAGGGACAGGATCAAGAAGTGAGCGAGCGACGGTATGTGTTCGCTCACTTCCAGATCTATTGAGCCGACCTGTGACAGTTTCATTGTCGCAGGTCGGCTAGAACTATGAGGTTGAGTGAAAAATCACTCACCTCATAGTTCTCCTTTAATGCAAATGTGTCATAGGAGAAACATGAAGCCTGCCAATGCCTATGCTCCTAAAAAGGCTACCTGGCTGGAAATCATTGGCCTCGGTCTTAAATGCTTGCAATCACTATCTTGGAACAAGAATGCAGATAAGGACTTCTGAATTCCTTATCTACATGTGTTCTAGATCAGTGACTCCAAACGTTGAGGCCAAAACCGATAACAGACAGGCAACTAGCATCTCAAGGGTCAACTATTTACAAATTTACTTCAAGAAAACAAAGAAATGGTTTCCATACACTCAGATGTACACTTACATTTTGTAGAATCGAATGGTTACAAAGAACAATGATACAGCACAACGTGACACTTTACAAAGAGGGGTTCAGAGGTGCCCACCTTAGCATGACTCCCTCCAGACGGATGGCTCGCTTCCAATCTTTCAGGGTTGATTTTCCAGCCAAATGTACAAAGTGTTTGGGACTTATCATCTGGTCATTGAACTGCAGTGAGACAGCAAAATGTGAAGAAAAATACATGTTGTAAATACTGTATGTGTCAAAGAACAGATTTTAGAAAATGGCGTACTCCTAATCCAATCACCTTGACACATTTGACATTGATCCCAGGGCACACAAATTTCTTCCACAGTAAAACGGCCTTGCTGTCCCCACATGTGATGGGATATGCAATGTCAATGTCATCACTCAGCTCCACTGTATCACCGTCTACAGGGAAAGAGTCAATAGATTAATGGCAGCAAAGAGAATTTCTTTTAAAAAAGGTGAGTAAAGCAAAGTTCTTCCACTCACCTAAGGTATCACCCATCTTTAGAGTATGAGTCTCAAGAGAGACAACAGCTGCATTGGTATCAGACATTTCCTCGTACATTCTGCATGGAAAGAACATCATACTGATCCACAAATAAAAAATAAAGAAACAGATAAAACATGAGAATCAATAACAATGATACCATATTAATGGAGACCTTTCTAGGGGAAACACACAGACTGAGTTTGCTGACCACTAGCTCTGAAAATGCTGGTTGTCTGGCTTTCATGATGACCCGATAGCAGGAATAGCCAAACTTTGGCCCTTCAGCTATGGTACAACTATAAATCCCCTTAGGCATTGCAAGACTGTCATTCGCATGTATGATTGGTTACTATGGACAACAACTGCTCCAGATTGTCTGCTGCAGTTTTGCTAAATCCCCCCACATTGTGTTTTTATATGGAGGATTATGCACTTTAACTTGCTGCTGTCTGCTTGTTTAGCACTTTAATAAAAAACTAAATGGTTTGAATATTCTGGTATACAACTCTTTGGTGTGGGCGACTTTCCTCACAATAAAGGACTATTTACCAGTATTCTCTGTAGCCTCCCTGCAGCTGACTGTTTCTCCATTACTAACTTACTATGTCGTTTTTCAATATCTCTGCATGTATGTGGCCATTTGGGAAGAGGCAGAGCCTTATATGGAGGATTCGGCACTGTTAACTTGCTGCTGCCCGATTGTTTTGCCCTTAAAGAGCTATATGATCTGAATATCCTAGACAACTTTATTACAGTCGAGAATTGTTTGTCAAATTCATGCCATTAGGCTGTCAGCTTTTTGCATGAGGCATCTGATAAGTAATGAATTAGAGTGAGCTTTATTGTGTCATACATTAGAGGAGGCTAGTCTTTGGTCCCCTGACTATTTTAGGCACAGATTTCAGAATTCAGCTCCTCTTTAAAGGAAACCTGCTATTGCTGACCTCTTCTTCTGAGAATGCTAGTTGCCTGGCAGTCTCTGGTTTAAAGGGTACCCGTTGTCAAAAATCTTTTTTTTTTAAATATGTATTTCCCGATTGAAATTCCACAGGTTCCATCCCACTTCTAAAAACCATATCAATCTAGAAGTTTGTATATGTACTTATTGAAGATGCCCATAGGATGTACTTCCCCAATGCACTGACACAATATCACTCAGCCCTGTTAATATGCACTTCCTTGTGTCCAGAGCCTGCCTTCTGAACTACAGCTCAACATCTGAACAATGTATCATTGCTTGCTGGAAGCAATGCATTATGGGTGTAGTCTTGAAAAATGGAGACTGTGTAACATCAAGCAGCAGCGAAAGAGATGCAAAACACACTGGGAATCCAGGAAGTTGATGAAAGTGATGGGCAGACAGAAGGGAACACTCACTACATAAAAAGGATTTTTTTAGATTGCGTTATGAAAAACAACTCTAATATGTATTCCTATTACAATACTGATGTTATAACAGGACAGTATATGCTGGGACTTTACAACACCTTCAAGTACATTCACTACTCATTACCTGGAGCAAACATGCAGATAAAGACTTTACCTGAATGCTAACTTCAATTTAAAGAAAAGGAAAGTACTGAAACAGGAAATTACCAGACAACTAGCATTCACAAAAGGAGCAATGGCAGCCTACACCTTTCTCTTACAACACATGTGATTTAGGAAAGCTTTACTTTAAGACAAATGCTGATATACATACAGTTTTGAAGACATTTTAAAAAGGTATAGAATAAGCAAATGAATCAAGGCAACAATTACTGATCATTTCATTTTATGGATATACAGAAATGGTTTGTGATAGGGTGCGATCATCTCTTTTGCTGTATTCTTAAAAGCAGACATTTACACTCAAAAATCAAATTCTACCAATACATCCTTCTATGTATGATGATTAATAATAACAGACATGTCAGGTGTAAATTGCTGTGAGTTTGAAATACAAAACACATGCAGAGCATTCACTTCCTGCTTTGAAAGGGCAAATGATTTCAGTTGGCAATTCCAGTGTGCACTGCGTTGGCATTGTCATCACAAGATCAACTCAGAGAAAGGCATTTTCATCCCATGAGATTATGTGCATGGTCACATGTCCTAATCACGTGCCAGAAATCAGGAAGTAAAAGGAGAGCTAGTAATCAGCCCTTAGTAAACATGGTGACCGTCAGAAGACTGGGAAAGAAATCCACTTTGTGGGCACCAAATGCTTTTGCAAACACATATATTACCTTGTTAAAGTAGCAGTGACATCATGACTCTGCTAAGCATAGCCTGTGCAGAGAGCAGAGCTGTAGGAGGGGCCCAACAGCTTCACCCACTACAGGCTGTCTGCAGAAAACTACAGGAGGGGACAGAGACAAGACCAGTCACCCTGCACAAGGACAGAGAACAGCAGTGACCAGTCTTTATTACAGGAAACTCCTGTACAAAAGGAACAGTTTCACATTGGAATACTTTACAGATTTGGAGGAAATACACAAAGCACACCAAGGTTCACATATGGCAATTCCTGTATTTAGTAGAATGTTTGCGTTTCCTGGAGTTCAACTTTAATGGACAACTAGAGGAAAAAATGGTTAAAACTGGATGGGAACTGCCATATGTATGGCCTGGATAACAGAACAGTGAACATGCAGCCTGTCACAAAAGAACATCAAGGAGCTGTGCCGTGTATATAACAGGACGTCATGAGAAAAGCTCAATAAAGTGCTGCATAAACTGTTGGCGCTATAAAAACCCTGAATAATCATTATTATAATAATACAGGACTATGAGATGAAGAGACACTTACCCATGGGGAATAGGCTGCAGCTGCAGGATAACCTGCGTCTTGGTGTCTTCAGGATCTTCACCTTCCGTGCAATCACTAGGGATCACCACAACGTCTCCCATAGGGACAGTCACCTCCGCGTTTGCCATGACACAGGGGTGGCTTTGCCGCATTCAGTAATCTGTGAATTAGAAAGTTTCTGAACTATGTATTATAAGAAGACATGCCACAAAGCTGGATACACACCCCGTCCCTCCCCTTTAATACAAACAATACACAACTCCACACACTGGCCCTCATTCCACTCACATGGAACTACCTGCAAGGAAATGAATCACCAGAAAAATAAAAACAAACTCTGTCTTATTTCCTCTCCACAACAATAACACACCTGGTAGCCTCCGCTCCCTACAAACAAAGCTGCCTCTGACAGCGGCACATTTCACTCCATGCTACCAGCCTCGAATACTGACTCCCGCCTCTCCCCGGGGTGCTCACTACTCAACTCCCCGGGATTGTCCGGACCTCACCGCACCGCGCATGTGCTATTCACACCTACCGAGTCGGCGCGCTCCCGCCATTTCCGGTCAGATGAGCGCGTGCTCGAGCGGAGGAAGATGCCTGAGCTCGTCCCAGCCAATCAGCGCGCGAGATACAGGCGTCTACGGAAAGAGAGGAGAGTGTTTGGTTCAATGTGTGCCACTCCGCTCCACGCATGACTGCGATATTTCGTTTTCCAATCTGGAAATAGCAGAAACTTTAAAGTACATGCTAACCAGAATTCACCACTACCCTATTGGAGGAAAGCGATTATTATTTTTTTTCAGACGCACTTTGCTGAATGATGGCCAGCGCATGTGTACTTTGCTGAATGCCAGTCAGGGTGCATGCACTTTGCTGAACGCCGGCCAGGGTGCATGCACTTTGCTGAAAGCTGGCCAGCGCATGTGTACTTTGCTGAATGCCAAGCAGGGTGCATGCACTTTGTTGAATGCTAAGCATGGTATGTGTACTTTGCTGAATGCCAAGCATGGTGCATGCACTTTGCTGAATGCCGGCCAGGGTGCATGCACTTTGCTGAATGCTGGCCAGTGCCTGTGTACTTTGCTGAATGCCAAGCAGCGGGGCGCATGCACTTTGCTGAATGCCAAGCAGGGCACATACACTTTGCTGAATGTCAAGCAGGGCGCATGCACTTTGCTGAATGCCAAGCAGGGCACATACACTTTGCTGAATGCCAAGCAGGGCACATACACTTTGCTGAATGTCAAGCAGGGCGCATGCACTTTGCTGAATGCCGGCCTAGGCACAATGATATTGCTGAATGCCGGCCAGGCGACTTGCACATTGCTGAATGGCAGCCAGGGCATATGCACTTTGCTAAATACTGGCCAGTGCACTTGCTGAATGTCGGTCAGGGCACAAGCACATTGCTGAAATCTAGCCATGGATTTCATGGCTGAAAATCCAGCCATGGATAAATACTGGCCAGTGCACTTTGCCGAATGGTGGCCAGGGTGCTTGCACTTTGCTGAATGCTGGCCAGGGCACATGCACATTCCTGAATGCCAGCCAGGGCATGTGCACATTGCTGAACGCCAGGTAAGGCACAAGCACTTGGCTGAATGCCGACTAGGGCACATGCACATTGCTGAATGCCAGGCAGGGCAAGTACAATTTCCTAAATGCTGGCCAGACGACATACACTTTGCTGAATGTTGGTGCAAGTAATCCTGGTATATACAGTACAGTCTGACGTGAAAGATGAAACCTCACACCAGAAGTTGGGGACCAGCACCTACAAGGATAGAGGGGGGCAGATCAAATAAGCATCTCATGCAAACTCCATTTAGAAGGTACAGGAATGTACCCAAATCCCATTGTTTACATGCGTACAGTACAACCCACAGTGTAGAGACAGACTGTGCCTATTTGTTATGCACTTAGGTGCATTGCAGCCCATTCAGACATACTACAAGATATGGTCAGAGAGTGCAGACATACTACAGGAGATAGTTAGAGACTTCATACATACTACAGGAGATAATCAGAGACTATGAGTATGCTATAGGAGATGGTCATAGACCGGGGACATACTGTAGGAGACAGTCATAGACTGTGAACATATGTGAGAATGCAAAAGATCACTGCTATTAAAGCTCCTTTACCAGTTCCACATTTGTGCTCCCTACAGTCCCCTTTAAAATATCTTGTACTACAATGAATACTTTTTCTGAGCAAGATCCATTAAAAAAAATATCACAAAGGCAAAAAAACTGAAAACAGATGGACAGCAAAGAAAAGTGTGAGATAAAGTGAAAGAAATAAGCCAAATTATGTAATCACTAGAAACCGGCCTGAGAGCTATTGCTGACAGGCGTTCTTTTTAAAGGAGAACTATGGGGTTAAGGCTTTTCCCCATAGTTCTCCTTAGGGTAACGGGAGGACACAAACTAGCATCCTCCCATCATCCTAGGCTCAGTATACTGTGAGCTGTAGCTCGCGGTATACTGAGACGCCGCAGCTGAAGCGGATCCCGACAATTGTGCCGGGATCCGCCCAGATGCGTGACTGACAGTTGGCTCTGCCTATCTAGAGGCAGAGCCAGCTGTACCAGCACCCTCCCCCGTCCAGCGCTGGCGGATCAGAGCGGGGAGAGGGGAATCCAGCCCCTCCCCTGTCACGGCAGAGAGCCGTGACAGGATCGAGAAGTGAGCGAGCGCCGGTATGTGTTCGCTCACCTCCCGATCTACTGAGCCGACCTGTGACAGTCTCATTGTCACAGGTCGGCTAGAACTATGAGGTGAGTGAAAAGCACTCATCTCATAGTTCTCCTTTAAACACTGCGTTTACTATGCAAATGCGCAATGTGCCAACAACTGCTAGGAGTTAAGCTGGCCATACATTGTACAAATTTCCGCCTGTTCTTCATCAACTGGCCAAAATTCGCACAGTGGTTGCCGACAGTCGACACCCTTTCAGGCGGCAACCCTCGATCCGCTTATCGAAGGAGCTGGTTGGAAAATCTTTGTACGAAGAGAGCTGGCAGCCAATGAGCTGCCGACTCTGTTCGGGGATTCTGATAGCAGCCACCGACTCTAACGCTGCGTTCTTCATTAAAACGCAATGAAGTGAATGCTGCATCCAGCTCCAACGCTGCGTTCTCCATTAAAACACAATGAAGTGAATGCTGCATCCAACTCCAATGCTGCGTTCTCAATTAAAATGCAATGAAGTGAATGCTGCATCCGGTTTCAATGCTGCATTCTCCATTAGAAACAATGAAGTGAATGCTGCATCCAGCTCCAACGCGGCGTTCTCCATTAAAACGCAATGAAGTGAATTCTGCATTCAGCTCCAATGCTGCGTTCTCCATTAAAACGCAATTAAGTGAATGCTGCATTCAGCTCCAATGCTGCATTCTCCATTAAAACACAATGAAGTTTATTTTCTATTTTTTTTAACCATTATGGTTTAAGCTTTTTTTTTATTTATATTGGTTAATTTAATTCAGCATGACATTAACAAATGCACAAATTGAAAAAAAATCCAATTATCTGTAACAATAGCATAAATTATGAAATGAAATTCATACTTTTTCTTGTTCAGCTATTTATTTATTTTTAAGGTTTTTAAAATGACAAAAAGTCGGTTTTATTCATGTCAGTCATTCCGTTGTACAACATTTGAGGAAGAAAGGAGCTATTTTATATGGTATTCTGCAACCTGAAGTAAGAAGAGATGATGGGGGCATTCAGGGCAGAGGGGAAAAGATGCTTGAGGGGGAGGGGGTTGCGCAGTTAAGAAAGGGGCAGGGCTAGGAAAAAGTGGCCAGTGGGAGCGAGCTAGCCATTTTTAGTAGCAGATTTGTACTATCCATGTCAGAGTCTGAGAAGGCACTGTTGAAAGTTTACATGCAAAAAATGTGGGACCCTTAGTGCATAGTCATTAAGCAGGGTCCAGTACAATCTAGCTTTAACGTTGGGCACGTGGAGGGCTCCAGACAACCATGACTTGGCAATTAAAACTCACAAGAGTTATTGGGGTGGTCCTTGGAAGAGAATGTGTAGGAGTCAGTAAACCTGTTACCATAGCCCCTGAGCTACTGGGCAGGTCCACCAAATGTGGTAGAATGTGCTTGGTTCTGGCCACAATGAAGAGGCGGTTAGGTACCATGAACAACCAGAGAAGTACTTTGTAATTGGTTTCCATGGCTGATGCATGTTAGGAACAAGACTAAGTTGTACTCCTGGGTCCACTCATGTCCTAGCTCAATTCCTAGGTCTGCCTCTCACTTCTGTGCATAACTGAGGCATAGGGGTAAATTTGGACATGAACATACTGTAAAGAAGGGAAATCAATCACGGAGAATGTGGGTCAACTTTGCATCTTGATTCAAGCGCTTTATACAATAACCTGTGGCTCGGAGTATGAGTGGTGGAGATGTAATGATTGACTTGTAAATACAAAAAGATTTTTGGAGTTCTGTAGGTATGGTGTTTATGCTAGGGTATACTCATACTAGGCACGGTTACCTGTACTGTACCCAAGCACAATTGTTACACACTCCCCCTGCTGATCTTTACTTACATTGTGCTGGGCCCAAGCACACTTCTAAGCAATGCCTTATGGGACTTGTTATTCCATGACAGCTAGAGTGCCAAGTTTGCCTACCTCTGCACTAGTCAAATTATCTGAACTTTGGGGGTCAAACATGATCAGACACAGTACGTGCACCTTATGTGAGTACTCCCTTATATTGTTTTTTTTTATCTACAGTAACACCTTTTATTTTTAAACTAAGACCTCATTCACATGTATCCATACATGCATTGTTTACCTGCACCTAGGGACCCTGGATTCAGACAGATTGTATCCAGGGCCATGTGAATGAGGCCTAACACTGATCAAAGTAGGAAAAGGTGCATTTTAAAGGGTAGATTTTCCTTTCTGACCATGTTTCATGTTTCACTCATATTCAGGATATAACATGAAACATGGTCACGCCACTATGCTGGCAGTACTAGCAACCAGTGATGTCAAGTGTGTACCCTGTGTATCATCTATTGTTATTATGTTGCGCTCGGTCCTGGACCGAGCGCAACATAATAACAATTAGACATGTGCACTGCCAAAAAATTCGTTTCGTTTCGTTTTAAATTCGGATTTGTGTTATTTCGTTTTTCAGGATTCGGGTGTGAAAGTCAATTCGGATTCGGATTCGGACGAAATTCGGTAGCGTTAGTACGAACGTTCGTTTCGTTTTCTGTTCTTATTCGTTTCTTATTCGTTTCTTATTCGTTTGCAGCAAAAGCGACATTTGAGGGGGGGGGAATATTTTTCTCCTCTAATGTCACTTTGCTCCAACGAACGAAACGAATAAGAAACGAATAAGAACAGAAAACGAAACGAACGTTCGTGCGAACGCTACCGAATTTCGTAAATGGAAATTCGGATTCGTTTGCATTCGTTATGTCTGTAATTCGGACTTAGGATACATCCGAATGTCTGAATTTACGAAAATTCGTCCGAATTTCGATTCGGAACGAAACGAATCGCACATGTCTAATAACAATCAATAATAATAACAATAGATGATACACGGGTCACCACCAAACATTGTTGCGGCTTGTTCAATATCACTGAGTGTTTTTTATTTTTGCTACTCCTAGCGCAGCGGCTTGTTGTTTTTCAAGTGTGTGCCCTGCCTAATGGGAGAGTAACTTTTTCTGTACTGACCAGTAGCCTGCTTCACCTCCCTATGCCTACTGAGTAAAGGTATGCGGGGGCAATAATGTAAAGCATTTAGATTGTAAGCCCTCAGGGGCAGTGCCCTCCTTACCATCTTGTCATGAATTGTATTGTGATTGCAATGCCTTCCTTATACTGTAAAGCGCTGCGCAAACTGTTGGCGCTATATAAATCCTGAATAATAATAATAATAAAAAAAAAGGGGCACTCTAAATAGGACAACTAATGTAAAGGGGGGACTCTGATGGGAACACCTTTAGTCAGAGTCCCCCCTTTACATTAGTTGAACCCATCAGAGTCCCCCCTTACATTAGTTGTCCCATCAGAGTCCCCCTTACATTAGTTGAACCCATCAGAGTCCCCCCTTACTTTAGTTGCCCCCATCAGAGTCTCCCTTTACATTAGTTGTCCCCACCAGAGCCCACCCTTACATTAGTTGAACCCATCAGATTCCCCCCTTACATTAGTTGTCCCCATCAGAGCCCACCCTTACATTAGTTGTCCGCATCAGAGCCCACCTCGCATTAGTTGTCCGCATCAGAGCCCACCCTTACATTAGTTGCCCCCATCAGAGCCCCCCCTTACATTAGTTGTCCCCATCAGAGCCCCCCCTTACATTAGTTGTCCCCATCAGAGCCCCACTTACATTTATTACAAAAGTAAGGGGGGCACTGTTATGTAGACAGCCAATGTAAAGGGGCACTCTTATGGGGACAACTAATTATTAGTTGTCCTCATTATCTTGCCCCTTTAAATTAGTTGCCCCCAACAGAGTGCCCCCTTATATTGGTTACTAATGTAAGGTGGTACTCTGATGGGGACAACTAATGTAAGGGGTTATTCAGAAGGGGACAACTTATTATTATTATTATTGTTATACACAATTTATATAACACCAACAGTTTGCACAGCACCTTACATCATGGAGGAACACAATACAGTTAATACAATTTCAATACAGGAGTGCCCCGCTCATAAGAGCCTAAAATGTAATAAGGAGCACTCTGAAGGGGACAACTCATGTAAAGGAGCACTCTGATGGGGACCTCAAATGTAAAGGAGCACTCTGATGGGGACATCAAATGTAAGGGACAAACAAAAAGGTACCTTGTCGCACTCCTTACTGGAAAAACCCAAGGTTAAATGAGGGGGGGTGCTCGTAGTGACCTGCGGATGGCGCCGTCACACAGCAAGAAGAAAAACGGATGTCACCAGCACACCAACAGTATTGCAGTCCAAAAAGTTCATTTATTGGAATGCCATGTCACCAAAACGCTTTTGGTTTTGGTGACATGACATTCCAATAAATGAACTTTTTGGACTGCAATACTGTTGGTGTGCTGGTAAAATCCATTTATTATCAAATGTAAGGGGGTACTCTGTGGGGGACACCAAATGTAAGGGTGCGCTCTGATGGGGACACCAAATGTAAGGGAGCACTCTGATGGTTACAGTAAATATAAGGAGGCAGTCTGAAGGGGACACCAAATGTAAGGGAGCACTCTGATGGGTACAATTATTGTAAAGGGACACTCTGATGGGACACCAAAAGTAAGGGAGAACTCTGGAGGGGGGCAAATAATGTAAGGGGCACTCTCATGGGACACCAAATGTAAAGAACTGGGGGGGGGGGGAAATGAATGTAATGGGGCCACCAATGGGAACAACTATCATTAAGTGGTCCTCTGATTGTGACAACCTATCACACAGCTCAGCAGACATGTTTTAATCAAACACTACTGGCACAGAAGATAAAAAAAGGCTTAGTTCATCCACCAAGTACTGAGATTGGATAACACCAGAGCTGTGTCCAGCAATATTGATACAAATTCGCCTCTGTACACAGTACTTGACAATTCTATCTTTGACCAGTGTAATGAGGACGCCCGGAATAACGATCTCAGGCAGTCCGAGTCACAAAAATTATGCTTTCGAAATCTTTTGATGTCGATTCCGCACCACAGTCCCCTGAATCAAGAGACCATGATGTGCCATACAAGGCACAAGCCCTTTTTAACGTTCCACTGATCCAGGAAATAGTCAGGATATACGAGAGTGCCTCTCACATTATAGCGACTTTAGTTACGCTGCTTCTATATTTTAACTTCAATATGTATTGTGCGTCTTAGGATGTTATAAACATTTAAGCACCAACCGTTATTTTTATACTTTTACATTTGTGAACCCAAACCAGGAAAAAAGCATTTCTACCGAGCAACTAATCGCATGCAAATTAGCCGCAGAGAAGCTAAGGCTCATGGGAATGTGCCTCGGTGGTTTGTTGTGCGACATGAAAACAAAGGCCGCGCTGTCTATCACCATCACGTTTCAGTTATGCCGTTGTAAATGGATAGCTGCGTGCCTATTACTTTCGTAGCAAAAGGCGGCCGCCGACCCATACGTTTAATAGGGGCACTGTATAAACTGCTAGGTGTTCATAAAGTTATTGAAATGAAGAAAAAAAAAAGGGGCTGAGCGTGTGCGGAGGTGTGGCTGGGTGACGTGTTTCCGGCGGGCGAGAAAGCTGAGTAGGTGAGGAGGAGAGGAGAGTGAGAGCGCGATTTGTCGTGATGTGTACGCGGTTGTGGGAGCTTCGTGCTTCAGTCTGTTGACTTCACATAGGTGTGTGCTGCGGCAGGTATCGCCAGGTCTTCCCGGGGCCCAGCCTGGCCTGTGTGGGTGAACTCTGCGAGCTGGGCTCCGAGTCTTAGTAAATCGGGTGTATGTCCATGGCTTGTAGTTCTTTATTTTTAGCGCTTGTGCAATGTAAAATGCTCGGTGCTGTTATCTTCCTCTCACAGCTTGAGGTGAGGACATATATACTCTGGACGACCATTGGAGAGCATCTCAACTAATGGGATCATCTGCTGTGTAGTGGGCTCACCACACACGTTACAATCTGTGTATAATCAACTTTAGATCTACCCAAGCTATCTAATGTGAGGATCTATCCAATCCAGCAGGCCATGTACTACATACTTATTGGTAGATCTAAAGGAAATTGTACAATCAGATTGTAACGTGTGGTGAGCTTCAGGCTCACTGCATCAAATTGGTGGCCACACACTCATCCATAGAAATGATTGATGTGCTATCCAATTATCGGCCGGACATGACCAATTGCACCAGTGTCTGTCCATGGGTTGATCGTGGCATCTGGATCATTCAATAGAACAGTTTTAAAGTAAACCCTTATTAAACGTCCAATCTGTTCATTTGGAGATCACGTATGCAGTTTATAAGATGTGACTTACCATTGGTTTTGCAGCAAATTGACATCAAAGCCAATGTTTACATTTGTGGCACATCGATTGAAAGAAATCATCTGCATTGCACGTGAATGCTGCTTAATTAGAAGCTTCATAGAGCAGCAAAGGGAAATCTTACATCGCATACGGGTCCTGCCAACCGTCTTGTGGAATCGTCTTACTAACTGTGTGCATTGCATACAATCTCAACCACCCAAAAGTCTGCGCAGTGACAAAAGAAAAGTGATAAATCAAAATAAATACAGTAAACTCCCGGTTATCCGGCATTCACGGGGATGGGTAGATTCCGGATAAATGTAGTTTCTGGTTGCTGGAGAGTTACTATTAAAAATAGGTCTAACTAATGCCATACCCCATACTATAATACCACACGATACTATACCATAACATACACTCTGTTATTGACTTCATATTAATATTGAAATGCAATAATCAAAAGCAAATTAAGACACACAATCATTTCCAGAATAATACATGCTGCAGATCCGCTGAGCAGTACCTACACTGGATTTGTTTTTTTCTAGTTAGATGAGAGTTCTGGTTAGTTGAATACCAGATAACTGAGAGTTTACTGTAGATGGATCATATCATATGTCTGGTACCTTTAGGTTCCCTGGCAGCCTGGAGAAATCTCTGCACTCATGGTTGCTTCTGTACAGAGATGGCACACAATCTATATGGCGGTGTGGATCACTGTACATCACCTCACACTTCATCAACAAGAACAGAATGATGTAGGATGGTAGTATCACAGTTTGATGCCAATACAAATACAGGGTAAAGCTGCAAGGCTTAAACTAGATGGTTTGGTAAAGCTGTGTTCTTGTTACAGCTTTTAAAGTGACATGAAACTCTAATCCCACCCTCCCCCAATGCTGGTGTAAGAACTTACCTTAAATGATGCCTCTTGATCTGATCATCTTCTTTCCAGTAGTTTTCATGAGTCCCTCCGACGCTGGTGCCGGTCCCTGATCCAGCGTTGACTGCTGTCTTCTGTGTCCCACGGATTCTGTGCGCATGTACACTGCCGTCTGCATGCATTCACTTTCAGTGTAGCTCTCCTCTCCCCGTCGGTGATCTCCACTGCGAATGCGCTGCTCACTTACTCCAGCACAGGCCGTCGGAGAAGCTGGATTTTACAGCCGGGAGTGAGCGGCGGAGACACAGGTAAGTTTTTACCTGTTTTGGTAACTTTTTTTTATTTTTTTAAAAATGTTTTTTGCATAGTAGACATGTGTAAAAAACAACAGCGAGTGTTTAAGTCTACTTTAATAGCTTGGCACACTTATTGTGGGTGTGGTAGTCCATAAAGTTTACCTGTACTGAAAGAAACATGGAGACTGCCATTGCTGACTTCTGATTTTTACAAAGGCTAGTTGCCTAGCTATCATGCTGCTTCAGTACTCTAAATCACTACTCTAAATCGCCAAAAACATGCAATCATGCCCCAAAGAAGCTGCTCGTTTTTTTCTGTGTGTTGAGTGACGGCACATCATTCAGATGTAAATGGGGACAATAGTATAGCATGGAGTGTTAAGCATTGAAGCTCTTCTGGAAACATGCTTTAAATCGCTCAGGCGTCAATGGCGGCTAACAGGAAGCCAGAATTTTCAGAAGTGGCTCAGCAGTGGAAGTCCCCTTTTATGTCTTAAGAAAAGTTTACTTTAAATGGTTTTGCCACAGTTCATTAAGTATGATCGTTGGGGGAGCTGGCCAAAGTTGAAGGGAATCCAGTCACCCCCACATTATTGTTGCTAGAACACAGCAGATCGACAGCCACCAGACATGGCAGAACTCGCAGTTCTTTTTGAAGGTGGTTTCCTAGGCTGAAATGCAGAATCACTATTAAATAGAAGCACGAGTGCTAACAAAAGCACTACTTTTACTCAGCATCCCACCTTGATCTCCACTGACCACCATGCCAGTCTCAATAATAACAGACAACACCCAACGTCGCCCAATCACAGTTTGGGGATTCTCTTGTGAATGGAGAATTACTCCCTTCATGGTCTCGCAGTTTGAGATGGTAAGAAGACACGTGGTCTTCCTTCTGGCACATCCATGTACCTCTAAACTGAGAGATGGAACAGGAAAGAAAAAAGAAGTGCAGCAGCTGTATTTCTGCCAAGTTGTTTCCTCAGGCCCCATTCACACTGGATGTGTTGCATTGCGTTACCATCCGTTTTTTAATGGATACAATGAAAAATGAATGAATGTGAATGGGACAGTTCACACAGCAGCGTTGCGTTGCCGTACGTTGCACTGAAAAGAAAAAGTAGAGCATATTCTACTTTTTTTTTTCATTGGTCCGTGTGCCAATGTGCGATAACGCACTGCAATCCATTACAGTGAAGTATCTCCACTCAGAATATGTTACTTCACATAAAGCTTAACCAAAAAAGATGGAACGCGACGGGTCAGAAGGTACAATAGCAAGTCAACGGACCCTGCGCTGACTTGCGAGTACCTTCTGATTTCGGTGTGAATGCCCCCTCGAAGCCTGGTTTATCCACTTTTTGTCACTATGTGGATGGTGGCTGGTTGATGTTTGGTACAAGAGCAGAAACTGTACCGATTTATTGCTTTTCCTTGTGTTTGGTCTTTAGTCAAGATTTGCATTTTATTTTTGTCCTTGATATTTTCTGCTACATTTTATATGGCTTTTGGTTTAAGGCCTCATTCACACCAGACACAGTGTGTTCCGGCCCGATTCTAGCCAGAACACATGGCTACCGTGCCATTCGCTTCAATGGACTGCTACGCCACCTCCTGCCCAACAACATACTGAGCCGGCCGCGATGCGATCCAGTGCGTTCTGGCCAGAATAGGGCCGGAACGCACTGTGTCTGGTGTGAATGAGGCCTAACTAGAAGAGTGCCCTGATGTCCACAAATCTCAAATTTTCTTGAGCACTATATGTTCAGATGAATGCCATTTCCCTTGCTCTGACCATCTTATTTTTGTACTCCTAAGTAGATTACAGCCTTAAAAAATAATTCCAATCCGGTATCAAGTTTCAGTAAAGATTCCAATTCAGGAGCTCCCTGTGTTTATAGTGATCAGAGGTGAGCCACTGGCAGAAAAGAACACCCCCAGTAGCCTCCAACTTCTCTTTGTTGTATGTCTTTGTACACGACTTATGATGTTATTGTCCACAGAGTGACCATGGCGTGTGTACTGAACGGTCCCACCGCCGTGTGTGATGTCATTACAGAGCTAGATACTCAGCTGGCTGTAAGTAAGAAGCGTGTGAGCATGAGCCGCTGTCTAGTCATCCCAAGTGTCTCTATGCTGTACAGCCTAATTAACCATCTGCAGTGCAAGAATGTGTGTATACTAAATGAAACATGCTTCACTGTGTAATAATGCTGAGTATCTGCAATCAACAATCCCACACAATGGTTATTAATGCCTCCAGTATAGTCGAGGTTTGTTGAAAATAGTCTAAACTTGTTATGATGGGTCGGTAATGGTTAATATACGAACACACATATATAGTGTATATCATTTTGTGTATGTGCATCATAAAAGAGAGGGCTGACACCACAAGCTGATTCATTCCTATTTAGAACTGAAACCAAAACCTTTTTTGTTTTGTTTTGTTTTGGATAGTGTAAGGGAGGGTTATAAGCTCTGTCAGTTTTTTTGGGGGGTATCTGTGTCCAAATGGGAAGATTTCACTTCCTGTCCAATAGCCACAACAGGAAGTGAGAAGAAATCTCTCTATATTGAAGGAAATCCCTGGAGGTCAGAAGGGTTCTCAGAACTACAGGTGAAACTCGAATAATTAGAATATCGTGCAAAGTTCATTTATTTCACTAATGCAACTTAAAATGTGAAACTAATATATGAGATAGACTCATCACATGCAAAGCAAGATAATTCAAGCCGTGATTTGTCATAATTGTGATGATTATGGCTTACAGCTCATGAAAACCCCAAGAACGCCAAATCCACAACCTCAAAAAAGTAGATTATTACATGCAATCAATAAAACAAGGATTGTACATAGAACAATATCGGACCTCTGAAAAGTACAAGCATGCATATGTACTCAGTACTTGGTTTGGGCCCCTTTTGCAGCACTTACTGCAATTACTTTTGCACGATATTCTAATTATTCGAGTTTCACCTGTAATGTCTCCTTTGGAAGATTTCCCATCTATTCCTGTTCTGATGACAACCCAAAATTTGGGGTTTTCTTTTACTCTCGGTAATAATGGTCACCAGGACAAATAGGGTGAATCTCCCTAACAGGGACACAGACAACAATAAAAACCAAAAACGCATGTTTTAATCCCTCTCCACTCCATCCAAAACTAAAAAAAAAAATGTTGGCTTCAGTTGCTTCACTTTAAAAGATAAATCATTTTTGGACGGGAATACAGGTTTTCTCCTGACTCTCATTCAATTTAATAATTCCTCTCCTGCATGATGGTGGGCAGACAAGGGACAGAAAATCATGCTGGCCATTCTTTAGTTAGAGGTCTTTAATCTTTCACGGACGTCTAATCACTGAGAAGTGGCGTTTTATGGTTTTACAGTTTGCAACTCTGCTGTGAGTAAAGAGAATCACTAAGCTTCCATAAAACTAGCAAATGAGTTAACGCTTTATGACGATTTATTTTGGGTGAGAAATTGTTTAAGCTTGTGTATGATGTAAGGGGAATTTTCCTTCCAGTATTTATAGTGTACTGGACACATTTTGTCCAAGATGGCGTGATCCCACATGTTACAGTGTAAAAGTACAGCGATAACTGAGATCATCAAAGGTTCAGGGAGCCATGTTCCACACCATTACAAGTTCTAATTTCCCGGCTTGTGACAGTTTTCATGGTTGGAGTTTGGTGTGGGGCTCCTAACTATAAAATCCTGTGGGTACACTGTAAAGGCCTGGTGGTACCCTATATTAGCTTTTAGTAGCCCAACTCTAGCATGTTTCTTTTGTTCTAGATAGTGAGGGGGAAGTTAAAAACACATTCTCTTGTTTTTTTGGTCTATCAAACAATGGATGCCACAATCCACATCCAAGTATCATGAATCAACTTTATTGTCCATAGCACATCCAACGTAAACCCTTGTGGTTCCACTTTTGCAGTCAAACTGGGAGAAAACCCCATTATATGTTTGTGTGTTCCCATTCACACAGTATATATAAAACTAATTTTTACAAACATATTTCTTCCGTTTTAGATGTTTCTTTGGTGCGGGCCTTTGTGCAGATTCCAGGCTACTCTGAGCAGTTTGAAAGAAAAAGTAGAGGGACAAACGGAGGGTCAGACTGAGCTTCCTCTCATGAAGATACAATGCTAATGTACTCTTCTTGACCACCTTAGTGGCTGGCGGCTTCCTTATTCTCTAAGCCAGTAGTTTTCAACCTCTTAATGTCAACAGTCACAGGACAAATTTCAATTATCAGGACTGGTTTTCTTCCTCTGTAGATTAGAGAGAGAGCTTGCTGTGTGGTGTTTCCATACTAGAAAGAACTGACTACAGGGCTGCAACTAATGATTATTTTCATAATTGATTAGTTGGCCGATTAATGGGATAAACAAAATTAAATACCATCCATAATTTAAGAAAAATACACAAATGCAGTGTTACAAACATACAGCTTACTTCAGACTAAAACTGCATGCACAATGTTTTGCAATCGCACTGCACTGGAACTCACGGCATTGTGGTACCGTGCAGGTGATCACAGTGTGGGTGGGTGGCAGGCGCGTTTGGGGTGCCAGTGAGAAAGATTCCACAGATGGCAGATGAATGTATGTACAGCAGGTAGTAGGCTGGTGCAATAGCCAGCCTGCTATTGGCCATTTCAAATTGCAATAGCAGGCTGGCTATTGCACCCTCCTGCTGCTTACTGTGCCCTCCTCCCAGCGTGGGATCCAACCAACTAATCGATTTAGAGAGAATAGTTGAGAACTATTCTCATCAATTAGTTGGTTGCAGCCCTAACTGAATCTAATAACCTTCTTCATCTAAGCAGGTAGCAGTGCTTGGTTCTGTCACAATCAGACACTCGCATTAATGTTTTAAATAATTTGGCAATAATTAGGCAGCATACCCACTTTCCTTTCTTTTTTTGGTAAATAGGTTTTAGCAAATTTCTATAGATTTTCAATACATAAAGTAAATGCAAGGAACATGTAATTTAGAAGAACATTAACACAAAAGGAAGGGTGGTATTGACTTGAATCTTTGAGTTAATCGGCAAGTTCAGGTAGGGGAGATGACTTCATACCGGTTGAAGTCTGAAGCTAAAGTAAGGTATACAACCAGCTGAAAATCACAGTGAGTGCCGCTGTCAGCACCCTTCCGTTCGGCGTCCCTCAATCAGCTGATAGAAGGAGCAGGTTGGAAAAGTGCTTGACTGATCGCAGCTGGTAGATATTCAGCTGTGGATGCTGCTGTTAGAATACAATAGAAACAACAGGATATTTGTCCATCACCACTCCTAAGCGTTGCTAGAGGAATCTGTTCTATTTTCTTCATTCAGTCCGCAGGATGAAGGAACAAAATAGAACCGTGTATGCCGCCTTAACTTCTTTCTGCTGATTTTTCACACAAACGCTAATCTGTGTAGTTTGCCCACATACAGATGTATGACAAGATGTTCAGGCCAATTAGATTTGTCAGTTCCTCAGCAATTTATGATGATGGCTCACACACAGGCCGGCAGCTGTTGTCTTGTCATATGGGTATGCTCAGAATGTATTGCACCTGATTGCATCAGTTTTACGTTGGGCTTTTATGAGTTTGGAGGATGGCATGGATTTCCAAAGGCAGATAAAATAAAGTACTGGGATACAGAAAATGATATTTAAATAATGTATGCTTTATGCTGCTTATTTGGTGCTTATTCTTTAGAAATTTGCTTCTGTACAGAAGAGTTCTCTGTATTTGTCATTATTATTTTTACTGTTTCTACAGCTTCTCGGGCCTGGGCCCTACACCCCTAAACAGCGTGCTGACGTGTCCCGGTTGGGTGAGCTGAGGGGTAAAGCGCTCCAGATTATGAACCAATTTGGAGCTTCCACGCTCATCAACCTGTCTAACTTTTCAACTTCCACCACCATGTCTGCCTCAACCACTGTGAAACAAGAGCAAACCATGGCCAACAGCACAGCAGGAAATAAAGTACCTGGCACAGCACCAGGAGGAGGACGAACAAGTCCAGATGCCAACCAGGTAGAAGATCCTATGTTAAACCACTGCTGGAGTTGTTGGAGGGAAGGATCCTTTTTGTTTCTCTTGTGCGTTACATTAGTTGTCTCATCTAAATGCAAGTTTCTAAGGCGCACCCATTAAAGAAACACTTTTGTGTACTTACCCAGACACTCCCTTGCATGATTGCTGGAGCCCTCACAAAATGAAGAGGCCTTCCAGGTATGGGTGGGACTCGTGTCCTACCAAAGTAACAATGAGACTGTCACAGGTCGGCTCAGTAGATCGGGAGGTGAGCGAACACATACCGGCGTTCGCTCACCTCTCGATCCTGTCACAGCCCTCTGCTGTGACGGGAGGGGCTGGATTCTGACTGGCGGAACGGACGGGGGAGGGGGCGGGTACAGCTGGCTCTGCCTCTATATAGGCAGAGCCAGCTGTCACTCACGCAGCTGGGTGGATCAATTGTCGGGATCCGCTTCAGCTGCGGCATCTCAGTATACCGCGAGCAGTAGCTCGCGGGATATACTGCGGCGTCTCAGTATACCGCGAGCTGTAGCTCGCGGTTTACTGAGCTTAGGGTGACGGGAGGACGCTAGTTTGTGTCCTCCCGTTACCCTAAGGAGAACTATGGGGAAAAGCCTTAACCCCATAGTTCTCCTTTAATTAGAATAATTTAATGTTCTTCAAAATGGTTCTCTTTAAAGTACTTACAGAAATCAGATGATTGTCAAGTGGATCAGGCAACAGTAATTGTGCTGAGTAAAGAATTATTATTTGGGCAAAATTACAAATAGCTGATCATATGCAACTCTTCACTTACAGGCATGGTCCACCTTTGACAAGAAATAAATGCACACATAAAAGAAAATGCAAATATACTATTTTCTCCCAATCATCTTCCAGGACATCAACCTGAGAGATGATTGGCTCTCCATCTGCAGGAAACACAATCGTAAAGGTTTAAAGACCCCCTCCCACTCCCCACGTCCCTCATTTGAGATAAAAGTAAAGTACCTCCACCAGTGCACCAGGGAAAACAATCACAATAAGCAAATATACACCACAACCAGGGTGGGAAGTAGGCTTGCTGTCCTGGAAGACACTCAGAAATACAGTTACCGGTAAGTCTAACTGGGAATTTCTCCGAGTATCTTCCAGGACAGCAAGCCTACTTCCCACCCTGGTTGTGGTGTATATTTGCTTATTTTGATTGTTTTCCCATGTGCACTGGTGGAGGTTCTTTACTTTTATCTCAACTGAGGGGAGTGGGAGGGTTTTTTTTAAACCTCTTTACGATTGTGTTTCCTGTAGATGGAGAGCCAATCATCTCTCAGGTTGCTGTCCTGAAAGATTCTCAGAAAAACCATTACCTGTAATTCTAACTGGGAATTTTTGCATTGAAGCCTGTAAAGCATTGCAGCTGCAATCTGTGGCCAGCTTCAGTTTGTGCGAGCACTGCCCATGTCTAGACATACAATGTTTCTTTGTGTAGTCTTTAAAGTTGGTGTCTGTCATTTTTATGTACCTCATAAATATCCACACCTCCATGGTTTATTGTAATAGCTATCAGTGATATGACATGTTCTATGTCCCTTTATGTTTGACTATGTATTGTAACGTTAGTTGGTGGATATTCTGAATATATGACTAAAAGACCTGAATATATTCATCAATCCGTCATCAAGACAGAGGTAGAGTAAAGAGTCCAGATATGATACTCCTGAGAGAACATTCTGCTTACCAGGATTTGTCAGCTCCTTACATTTTATATTTTGAATTAAAGTTATTTAACCAGAACTCTTGTTACTGTGTTCCAGGTATTAACAAAGAAGAAGCTTCATGATTTGGTCAGAGAGATTGATCCAAATGAACAGTTAGATGAGGATGTAGAGGAGGTGAGACCTTAATAGATGCAACTTGACACTGTTCTGCATTTGTCATGGTGTCTCATGATTAATTTCTCCCACTCCAGATGCTGCTGCAGATAGCAGATGATTTCATTGAGAGTGTGGTCTCTGCAGCTTGCCAGCTAGCACGACATCGTAGATCAAACACGTTGGAAGTTAAAGATGTTCAGCTTCATCTAGGTACATTTTGGTTATTGTACTCCTGTTTGTCATTAGGATGGAGCTTAAGATGGTAACATTTTGAATTTCCTGTGACGTGTTGTAATGAAAGTTTATTTAGCATTGTAGTTATTTCCAAATCAAAAATGCACTTGTGAAACCCTCAAATCTTGCAATATAAAGGACCTCCATAATGCACATTTAAAACTATTAGTGCTGCAGTGCACAGAATTTTAAAGTGACACTAAACTCAGGAGTTAAATCTGAATTATGCATTCAAGTACATTAACTATTAACATACATGTAGCTTATTTGTGTATCATGAAATCATCTCTGAATTGGTACTGACCCTGTCCTTCCTTCTGGAGAGTGGCTAGTAGTCAACGCTCCAAATTTGCTCCTGTGATGGACTACAATCTCACATTTAGTTTACTCATTTGTATTGAGATTGTAGTCCATCACGAGAGTGAGCTAGGAGCAATGGCTACTTTACAACACACACGGGAACCATGGGGAACAAAAGTAGCCACCCTCCAGAAGGAAGGACAGTGTCATCATGACTTCAGTGAAGATTTGAGGATCTGCAGGCAAAGTTTATCCCTGAAAGGTCACCGCTCAGATCTGACTCGCATACATAGAGGAACGCTACAGGGTAGCCATGTTTCCCATTTTGTTTATACTTGCCCTAAAGCTGAAGGAAACAGACATCAAAGGATTCATTAGTGAAAACACAAATGCATGATATTCATGGATGACAGTCTAATGCTCATCTCTTCCCCTCTGATCACCACCCCAATTTATACATCTGCCACAAATGTTTGCTTCACATCTTCCTGTATCTCAGCAATGTTGGACAACCTTACCTCCATCTGTGAGACATTCTGGCCACTGCAGACATCATAGATGTCTTCTTACATGACCCCATCTTTCCAGTACATCATGCGTTCTATGTTTTGCAGGGGCCAATTTGTCGCCCTTCCCTGTGGTCTGTTGCAGACATGAAAAATTGGAAGGTGGATTTCTAGACTCACGAGCGGGTGGTTTTTATGAACTTTACAGTTTTAAATATAGATCCATTTGGAGGAGATTCCTTGTGTGCTGCCATTTTGCTCTGCTGATTGACGGGGTTTCCCGAGGTGTTTCAGATCCACCATGTTGCGGACCTCCTAGCTTCCAGGTTCAACTACACCTCACCTCAATCCCTCATTTTGCCCTTCTCACAAACTCCGTCATCGTGCATGGAAGAAATTCCCATCCCAGGATGTACTCCATGGGATGAACCCTGTCTTTTCTCCAGATCTGTCTGAATGAACAGTTGGCTTTGAGTACCATCAAGGATCAGATCTCGGCCCTAGTGATTCTTTTTCAAAGACAAGGTTCCACCCTTCACCATCAAAGCGGTTTCCACTAGATCACTTAGTGCTTCATGGGCTTTTTAGCATCGGGCATTTGTTAAGCGGACCATACACCTATAGATTATCTGCAGATTTTCTATGGTCAGATGGAAAAAGTGCAACAGATTCCTCCATCTATGCTAAACTGTGTGGATGGAAATCTCCCACTGCGCCAAGCTTCAGTATCTTGCTAGTTGGTCCCACTGGCTCTCACAATACCTGAACAACGCCTGCATCCAATCAGATTGTTCAGGTATTTTGAGAGCCAGCGGGGCCGACTAGCAAGATACTGAAGCTTGGCGCAGTGGGAGATTTCCATCCACACAGTTTAGCATAGATGGAGGAATCTGTTGCACTTTTTCCATCTCACCACAGAAAATCTGTAGATAATCTATAGGTGTATGGCCAGCTTTAGTCATATCTGCAGGGCTGCCATCTGGCCCTCTGCTCACATGTTTATCAGGTAGATGTTCAGGCCTTCTCTGATACCAGTTTAGATTGTAAGGTTCCTCAGGCAGCTTTGTGAGCTCTTTTGAACCGCTTTTGTTTCCTTGTTCAGATGAACCTGTTAGAGTGTTGTTTGCTGTGTTGCCGACTCGTCAGTTAAACTGCTTTTTGTTTTCCCTATGTACCCAAATTACATTCTGTGCCCCTTAATGTAGGATTTTTAACTTGCTGTTAAACCCGTTACTTGAAGTACAATAAGGTACACAGGTTCCCTCCCTCATATGATCCATTCCTACTATTGCTTGCTGCAAAACCGAGGCATCCAGATTATAAGTAAGGCCCACTGAAAGGGCTGAAAGGTGTCAACAATCTTTTGTATGCTGTTTTGACACCATGTGGAAATAAAGTTTATACTGGGATGATCACTTCCATGTGCCGGATTTTGAATACATGATGGGAGTGGGTGAAGTTATGATAGGCTGACCTTACAGCTTTGTTTGCTAGTGTCCAATCTCCTAAAGACAGCAGCATAACCCAATGTACCTGAAATACATCCTGTGTCCCTTTTAATGTGCTCTGGGTAAAGGATTTTATGGTAAGTCAAAAATCCTATTATTTTTATTGTTGTTACTGCAATACCTTTGAAATGTTGTCTCTAGGTGCAGATGTGTAATATGAATTAAATGAATCCCTTTTATCAAAACAAACAGTTGCCAAAAAAACTTCACAGTGGTTCTAATCCTTTCACACTAAACTAAAAAAAACGTTTTGACTATATACACTTTGATACAAAGTTGTTATGAGACAAAGTTGTTATGTTTACACAGTAAATGACACATGGTTATTATGTTAGGCATCAGAATGGACTGCCCTGTATGCCTGTGAGACTTGCATTTCTTCCACAAAGCAACAGTCATCATCACTTGTGTATTTATGTGACAGTTGGGTTTATGAAACCCATAGACATTTGTAGACCTAATTCTGCATGTACAAGGCAGGACACTAACTATGTTGTCATCCACCCAGAACGACAATGGAACATGTGGATCCCAGGGTTCGGATCAGAAGAGATTAGGCCCTATAAGAAGGCTTGCACAACTGAGGCCCACAAACAGGTAAATGGGCTTGTTATGACCTCTGGAGTGTTTGTATGTAAATGACATATATACTGTATCTTTCATTTCAGAAGATAGTGTTAGCAGCTGAGTTAAAACCCATCTAGAAAGAGTCCTGCCTTTTATTTGTGTTAATGTCGGCGAAGGAAAAAAGCCCCCAAGCTCAACAGTTGGCTCATAACTTGGTTTCCTTGTACAAGGGAAAACATATTCCTAACTGTAAAGGAAGAGTGATATAAAAGCTCACTGCAAGAGCTCCAAGACCTAAAGCGTGGAAGGTCTCCTATCACAGTGTTCCAGTTATACCCTTTGTACTACTTGCATAGTAAACCATAGCAGTCACTTGTTTTCTTTACCAGATGAAGCAGCATAACTTCATATAGAGATCATTTCACATCATTGCAGGCGAGGTGATGATGATGTAAACATTACCTCTGTGCACTGATTCCAGATAGATTATTATACTTGTTTATATAGCATCACCATTATGCATTGCTTTAGCACAGTTGGTTACCCTTTATGTCGCTACATCAGTCATACATGGACACAGTAGTGGGCTAATTTGGGTGGAAGGCAATTGACTGGCCAGTATGTTTTTGGATTTTGGGTGTTGGTTTGGTCAACTGGAGAAAGTCTGGGGACAACCAAGATGATGCCTTGGTTGTGACTTAGTAAATAACTGCCCCAAAGTCTTTATATACCTCTTCCTGTCCTTTTGTATTAGATAAAATGTCAATCCATGATCCAAACAGAGGCTAGATAGGGTCATCTGGCATGAGGCTACTACAATAGGGAATCCTTGAAAAGGAGATGGAAGCGATTTACATACCTGCTTCCTTCTGACCACTCTTCACATGTTTAAACATGCCCTCTGAGGAAGTCCCGTCTGGAAGAAACATGTCAGGGCTCGCATGGCATTCCTCACCCTGCATGACATGATCGAGCCTGACTATATTCTCACTAGGCTTTATGGGTTAACTGCAGTGTGCTATAGGTGCTCCAGGGTCCCTCATAGACGTATTTTGCACGGGCATGTCGAATCCTCACTCACATTGGGGAGGTGATGCTTTATTTTGTGGACTGAAGAGGTGTTTTGCCAACACCCTCAGGTACTAGTCATACATTTACCCAGCTAACTGTTGGGTGCTAAAGGCAGAACATGCACCCAGTTCCATTCCATCTTAGCAGAGATTCTGCCATAGCTTTAGTCTTTGATACACAATAGCTTCTAAAAAGACATATGGAAGCCCTGAGGCATTGTATTTACTTAGTACACATTTTCAACATTGATATATCATTGTGTTTTAGTCCTTGAGTTTAGTTCTGATGTACAAGGAGCTAAGGCAATTTCTTGGCGATATGGTTTTTACATCTTCGTGTCTTTAAGCTGGGGGCCAGCTTTGTTTATCCCATGAATATAGTAGATATATACTTTGCTTCCATTCCATTTATGGCATACCCACCTGTTATGGAACAATCAGTATGGCTCCAGTGTCATCCATAATCATACCTTCTGTTTAACCTGTACATTGGAGAATTTAGGGATCTATGAGCACATTTTGCTCACCCATTTGCTGTCATAGGTCCTTTATGCTTGTTTGTATTTAGAATATACAAGTGACTTTGCAGTATGTTGATCAACAATAATGCACACCATATGTAACATGTATTTATTTATGACAGGTATTTATAAGGCGCCAACAATTTACACAGTGCTTTACATAGTTGCACATTCACATCAGTCCCTGCCCTCAAGGAGCTCACAATCCAAGGTCCCTATTGCACACACATACAGGGCCAATTTAGACAGGAGCCAATTTACCTCCCACCATGTCTTTGGAGTGTGGGAGGAACCCGCAGTACCCGGAGGAAACCCACAAGCACAGGGGGAACATGCAAACTCCTTGCAGACATTGCAAACATTTATAACCTAAACAGTTTTAATAGTTTTTATCCTTGTGCTATGATTTGGCGATTAAAGCTTTAGAAGTTCAAGTTATATGTATTGACTAATTGAAGTATCCGCAGTAAGGAATTTGTTTGTGTTTTCATTTATGTTTACATATTATCAATTGGTTCTTTTCACACACATTATAAAATCGATCTTATGTTCTAGAACATTTATTGATACCTATTGTTTAGTATTTATGTAGCGTAGAAAATTGTTGTACATTTTATGTGAACTCTCATGTGCCTGGTTTGTTCTACAGAGAATGGCTCTCATTAAGAAGACCCAGAAGAAGTAGACGACTGTTGTTTTCTTAGTCAGCACTCCCATGTTGACGCCATGACTCTGCAGTGAACTGATGCAGATGCCACCTCTTCAGAGAAGAGCCTCATTTTTGGACAGAGACTGCACATCTAGTAATGTGGACTTGCCTTTACTAGTCTAGCATTACAGAACCCTCTGGCAGGGGAAGTGTTACACTGTCGTTTTCCTTTTGTATATATAACAGAAAGTGGTTTGATTAAAGATTGTTGTTGTAATTCACGCTTGGTCTTTGTGTGAAATTACCATAGAAACCAAAGGATTGTCTGTCAGAGGAGACCAAACATATACCAGCTTAAAAAGAGTGAATGTTAATACAAGCTCATGAGACTCAAGACAGAATGGAAATATTCACAAATAAGTACTCATACAAGTACAGAAATCCAACGTTGCTGTGCAGGGTGTTATTCTGTGTAATGAGTCATGACCGCGGTGTTACACCCCCTTCCTGGCCAGGCCATTTTTCAGTATTCAGCGCTGCGTTACTTTGATATTTATTCCGTCATGCAACGCTGTACTGAAATTAATTTTATACCATTTTTTGGGGGGACACCGAACTTTCTTTTGGTGGTATTTAATCACCACTGGGGGTTTTATTTGTTACTATATAACAATTTTTTTTTTAATTTAAAAAAAAAAACCTTTTCCCTGTGCTATGTTAGGAAGCATTTATATTTACCCAATTTTTTGGTAAAATATAAAAGACGGGGTCACGTCAGGTAAATTGACACCAAACATGTCAAGCCTTCAAATTGCAACACCCGCGAAATTGCAGGAAACTACCTAAAATTGGCCATAGGCGACGCTTGAAAAGCTTTTACCGCTCATCAGTTTAGTGTACACGGCCCTAAAATTATTGCTCTCACTCTGATGTTTGCAGTGATATGTAACGTGTGGTGTTTGTTTTCTCAGGTAGGCGCACCCGACGCGTGTTTGTGTGTGGGGGCCTTATTTATTTTTTTGTGTTTTTTTTTATTATACGTGACTCATTTTTTATTTTATTTTTACTGTTTGTATTTTACATTTAACTTTATTGCTATCACATAGTGGAATAACAAGTCCCCTATGTGATAGCCAATATACATTGACAGGTCCTCTTTATGGAGACATCAGGAGTCTCTAAGACCCCTAATGTCATCTGGGGACCCCCAAAGAAGCCGATGAAGCAGAGATCTGTTTCACCGGCTTCTTCTCTGGGTATAGCAGCCAGAGAAATGACAAGTAAAGGAGGAAGTGATGTAATACACATCTCTTCTGCCTTTAGAGAGGAGGGGAGATCAGCTGTGGGAGAATGCTTATCTCTCCCCTGTCCTCAGTATAGGCAGCCGCTGTGCTGGTTCCGGACCTGCAGGGGGGACAGCGGAGCCCGGGATAGCTGGCAGCGGCGCTAGTGGGGAAGGGGGTGAGGTGGAGGGAACAGCTGCACTTTCTATACATACAAGCAAAGAGGCCAGAACGCTTGTATGTCACAGCCGGTATCGGTTGTTAAAAGAATTTTGCAGGTTCTGCTCACAGAACAAAAAAAATCACATAAATGCACGTCCACCCGCCGGGATACGTCCGCCCGCGTATTCACAAGCGTTGGATGGCAAGTGGTTAAAGAGAACCAGACACCAAGGGGCATTTGTAAAACTGATTCTCCAGCCTTAAGCTGTTATAATTGTGCAGCCTTTTAATTCTGAGATCAGTGCAGGTAAGACACTCAAAAACATACCATATAACACAAGTTCTGTCAGGATTACATTAAAGAAAAATAAAGGCTTTCATCGTTTTTCTCTCCAATATCATGCACAGAATGTCCATTGTCTTGCGCTAATGTGGGGTATTAACAACCGAACACTGAGTTAATATTTCTGTTCTGTCAGGGAGAGAATACAACTAAATAACAGCACACACATATCCATTTGAGGTGCACTATTATAATAAATTGAACTACGAAGGTTGTGCATTTTCTTGCTTCTTGTCAGCATATGCATAGGGTCCTATGTGTCTGTGCCTCCTCGCCTATTGAGAATCCCACCATGCTGTGCTCCATTGTGGTTGTTTTTTCTTCTCTTGCTGCTCGTAGCAGTTCTCTGCATATAAGAGAGAGGGCTGCAGAAACATTGCTGCCAGTCCGTGCAGAAGTCTCTAGATATGGAGCATTTAGAGAGTTTGCTATATTTTGTGCCTCCTCTCGAGTGACATCTCGCAGATCTCGTAAGTCACTTTTGGTTCCCAGCAGTAAGAAAATCAGAGGATGAGGCTGGGCTCGCTCCGTCACTTCCTGGTACCAGTTTTGGATGTTCTCAAATGTCTTCCGTGAAGTGAGGTCAAATAAGAGGATAATACAAGCAGCATTTCTGTAATAAGATCTTGTTACAGCCCTAGAAACAAGACAGAGAATAATTGACTAATAATGTAGAGCATAATCTGTACTTCATTCTTTCAATATCTTTTTTTAGTTTAACAATACAGGTCAAGTACGGACATAAGAAAAATGTGCCAGAGGTACACAATAGTTTATCATGTAGAACACTGGACATTCATGGAAGTCTGTACAGGCAGAGAGATCATTGTACCTAGGCAAATGGATAGGAATATAGCAACAGAGACCCTTGTTGGGGAATGAAGTGGAAGCAAGTGGATACCCATGTGTGTGAGTGCAGTATAATAAAGTAAAGCATAGGTGTGCCCACGTGAGTAAGACCTCTGTATAAACCGGGGGGGATCGCTGAATTAAGGGGGCCCACTATGGACACAAGGAGAAAACGAAAAGTAGAAGGAAATCAAGGAAAAGAGTAGAAGAAGAGGGAATGGGTGGTAGGGGAAGGTAAGCCAAGAAACCATGGAAGGTAAGGAGTATGGAAAAACTGGAGATGGACTGGTGCAGACCAAGGCTGAAACCTGATCCCAATGTTGACCTTGGGTCTCAAATGGGCCATAGAATGTCAATTGGATCTAGCGGAAAATAATCCTTTATCCAAGAAGTTCAAACCTTTTAAAATTGATAATCTTGTCCTGAAGGAAAGCCACACATTTCTCATTCAGTAAATACCTTACCACTTTCAGTTTGACCTGGGCAGCTGTAGGGATTCCAGACCTCCATGCCCTGGCTTAGGTCTGTCTGCAGAGGTTAAAAACAAAGGGTTTTCTTTTTTGTACAGCCCATTGGTTGGTGATTGAGCATGGCCTAGTGTAGGCTCTTGAGGATGCATTTTCCTGAGACTAATCTAGAATCTTACATAAGCATTTGCGTACCAACTGTTCCGCAACCTCCAAAGCAGAGGTTTAAGGTGCCTCCAAGGAATTTCGACAGTCTATGAACCAACAGAGTAGCAAAGCGTAGTTGGTTTAATTGAAAGTAGAGTTCAGGGAGCCATGTTCAGTGGTGTCCCGGATTTGTGACCATAGTTCTGGTTCTAGGGAGGTGCCCATATCCCTTTGCCAGTGTGAAACGTATTGGTAATCCAATTCCAGTAGTCGTTCAAAAGGGTTCAAGAGTTAGAGGTGACTCCATATGCTTAAAAAGTAGGTTGGACATACATTTCTGATTTTAAAGCAGAATGTCTCCGAAGGTGGAGCATGATACGTAGATTTCAGTGAATGGAAACTTTCCCCATTTTTATAAAGTTATAAAGACCCTTTTTAATTTAACAGGTGAACTTATGTGTCTCCTTGAACCCTGGGAAAGATGAATCATTGCGAGTTACAGCGACTAGGGGGGTGTGGGTAGAAAGCAACTTTCCTGGGTATTTTACATCATCTCACGTTTTTAGTGTTTGATTATTGGATTTGTGATATGTTTACACAGTTGGTGGGGTGTCCGTAAGACTGTGTCTATCCCTAGTGGCGTTGTATGGGTAGTCTTGTGTACGTTCATCATCTATAACCTGATATAGCAAACTATTCATGGTTCAGCATATGTGCACACCACAGATCATGGTTTTACAGCTATAGAGCCGGCGGATCACTTGTATGGGCGGTCGGCCCGTGTCCCCCCCTCCCGTTGTCACGCTAATCCCGGGCTCTGCTGAGCCCGGGACCAGCATAGTGCCTCTGTCACAGGGGATCAGAGGGAGGTTGGTACCCGATCTCCCACCGGTCCCCTCTCCGGTGTCAGAATGGGGAAGTGATGTATATTACATCACTTCTGCATTCTCGTGTCACTCTCCAGCTTCAGACGCTGGAGAGAAGCTGATGAAGCAGATCTCTGCTACATCATCTTCTTTGGGGGTCCTAGGTGACATATTAGGGGTCTTGGAGACCCCTGATGTCTCCTTAAAGAGGACCTGTCACATCTTTTTATATCACATAGGGGGGTTTCTTAGCCCCCCTATGTAATAGCAATAAAGTTAAGTGGGAAAAAAGTAGTAAACAAAATTAAAGATTACATTTTTTTAAAAAGTTACACATAAAAAAGAAAAAAAAACAATTTTTTTTTAAAGTCCCCACCCCTACATACACACATGCAAACATGCGTCGGGTGCGCATACCTGCGAAAACAACGATTGCGCCCATTACGCCGCACATGTTACATGTCGCAGTGAGAGCAATAATTTTAGGGCCATCAATCACTGATAACACTAAACCGATGAGCTATAAAAGTTTTTTAAGCGTCGCCTATGGTCAACTTTGGGTGTTGTGGTTTATTGCGATTTTGCGAGTGCGTGCAATTTTTAAGCTTGACGTGTTTGGTGTCTATTTCCCCGACGTGACCCCGACTTTTATATTTTACCAAAAAATTGGGTGATAATAAATCTTTCCGAACACAATGTAAAAAAACAAAACTTTTTTTTGTGAACATTTTCTGTAATTTTCCTGAAATATAGTAAAAAAAATAAAAGCCCTATGTGTCCCCAAAGAATGGTATAAAATTAATTTCAGTACAGCGCTGCATGACGGAATAAATGTCAGTCAAAGTACCGCACGGCTGAATACTGAAAAATGGCCTGGATGGGAAGGGGGTCTAAACACCTGGTCTTCAAACAGTTAAAATAGGCCCAGCCGCCCTAAACAACATATAGCAATCAATCGGCCGGCCCCGCCTGGGTGTCAGGGAAGACACACAGGCTGTTTCGGAACTTTGACAGTTTCTGTGTTCGGCCTGCGCGGCTGTGCCCTTTCATCTTAGGGCCCATGCCAAGGCAAACCCAATGCCTTGGTTCCTTTACCAGCGTAACGCCAGTGCGGCTGCACCCCTCCAACTTTGGGTGCACGCCAGCACAGGCTCTTGTAGAACGGCCAATAAGAAGAGAACTGGGATGTGAAGTGATGTCATCTCCCTGCCTCTCCCAAAGCTGCACGCCACTGTAGAGAGGTAAGACAGGGCAGTCTACATGCCCATTCATAAGTAACACCCTACATGTCAGACATAGCACAACTGAGCCATACAATGCAGACACGGGGATCACATTAAAATTGTAAGCACAGTTTACTTTTCAGCACATGTAAATATGAACATATTTTGTGTGTACACCAGTTATTGTTTTTTCCACTTATAGTTTTGCTGCTAATGGCAAAATAAACACATTTAAATAATTAGTGAGTTGAACTTATTATTAGCACTACAACTATGAGTGTAAAAATTGAAGTTTAACTAACACTACGGTGCGCTATTGTTCATCGGCACCCGGTTGTCTGATGGTTGCAAAAATGGCACTCGGCGTGTAAAAGGTTGCTGACCCCTGTCCTAGATTGATCACTTCTCCTGCCTTCTCCAAACTCTTCACCCTTTTGTGAATAACTCAGATGACGCACCTCTGGAAAAAAAGAGGCGGCAGAACTATGGAGTGTCTGGTACCAGTGTGATATCATTAGCACAGGTTACAATTGCAGAAAGCCCTTGCTCAGCTAAAGTGTAACCTTTCACTAGCAAGTGACTACTCCTGTCCATCGCGTCATTTACTAAAGGGACTTGTCCGGAACTATATACGGAAGCTGCCATTAGTAACCTGTTTTTGAGGATGCATGCTCCATGACTGTCGTGTTTATATTCTTAAATACCTGATGAGTCACTGGGCTAAAACAAGTTATGTCAGGACATGTGCTATGTGTATATGATTGTTTCAGGTCCGTGACTCACTAATAACAAAAAGCATGAATCTGAAACCTGCACCTTAAACAACAGGTCCAGTAATGGCAGCTCCCATATTTCCAGCCTGGTGATTTACTTTATGTGCAACTAAAGCCAAAACTTTTTTTGTAGTTTTAGAGTAGAGTGGCATTAGAACAGCCATCAGGTTTTTATTGCTGTCTGCATCACTGTTAGGGAGATTCACCATTCTAGTTGTCCTGATAACTGTTATAACTGGAAGTGACAGAAAATCCCAAATTTCGGGTTGTCCCCAGAACAGGAATAGATGGGAAATCTTCCAGTGGGGAGAATAGTTCTGATGACCCTGCTAACCACCAGGGATTTCCTCTCACTTCCTGTTGTGGTTATCAGACATCTCCCCAATAGGACACGGATGGCAAAGAAGCTGAGAGGTGTTATATCCCTCCCTTACTGTATTCAAATCTAAAATAAAAAATGTTTTGGCTTCAGTTTTACTTTAACAGAAACCTATCATGAAAATAATATACAGATTGCCAATTCTAATGCTACTTGTCTCTGACTTCAATACTTTCGAATACTTTGACCTAGAAAATGGATGCGATTAAAGAAGTTCTTTATCTGCATACTCATTCTAGAAAATTATAGTGGCTTGGCTCTCATACCAGTGCTCTGGCTTCAATTCAAATCAGTTCTGTCAGCACTTTGAGCAGTGTGTACAGCAACTGTTTCACAGCATTTGGAATCACGCAAAGCAACCTTCAACTCTAGCTTGGGTCCATATACTGAAATCTTAGTAGGAGCTTCTAGCAGACTTCCTACACGTTTTAAGTAGCATTATAACTTTGAGAGAGCACGCTAGCAACTTGTTTAAGGTGACGGCACTTTTATTAAAATTCCTGTTTAACACCCCTAAACTGAAGCTGAAGGTTGCGTTAAAGTAGGGGCGCCCACAATTTTTCATCTGGAGATCTGCTTTTCAAATGACGAGCTCATTGAGATCTACCAACGAAAAAACACCTGCATTCAGGGGCGGGAGGGGGCGTGGCGGTGCATTGAAGTCAATGGCACTGCAGCCAGGCTCCGCAGGCAGGCCCCTCGCCCACAGTGCGATCGCCTGCATTAGTGCCTGTGTTCCAGTCCAGTGCGATCCGCAAAAAATGCTGCAAGCACTATTTTTGCAGATCGCACTGGACCGGAATGCAGGCACTAAGGTGCCTGCGTTCCGAGTGCGGGCGATCGCAATGTGGGCGATGCCATTGACTTCAATACAGCTCCACACCCCCTCCCGCACCTGAACGTAGGGAGTCGGCCGGCTTACATTCCAGTGCG